TAAACACATTTTATATAAGTCGAGATAAAACCCTTATCACATATTTATCTCGTATTCCGTAAATTACGATTAAAAGACTATTTATAAATTATTCTAAGTGGGATTGTTGCTCCTCTGTATCCAATGCATGGGACAAGGACGCCGTCCACTGCCGAGTGTTCCTTCATCAATCTTCAGTATGTTCGTACATGTAAAAAAAATTCTGGTCTAGGGGCACAAAAACCCTTATTATTATTATTTTTCTTTTTAAAAATTTACCCCAACTATTAATCCTCGCCTGGAGATCCATAATTCCAACTATTAATTCGCCTGGAGATCCATAATTCTTTATTTCGGAGTTTAATCCCACAATTCTACTAAACGAAGTATGGAGTGCCACATGTTCGTTTTGCACGAAAGGTTGTATGTTAAAATATGCACTTGTTGGTGCGTGTTTGGGTAGGTGTGTGTTAAATTATTAATTACTTTTTATTTGAAAAGTAATAACCTTATCCATATATAAATAATTATTTCTTGCGTTGATCAAGAATAACACTAAACTCCACAGCGGCGATTCTGGTTTTTGGACTGGCTGGTTTGTCTCGGTGGTTATAAGTTGTAATTATCAATATATAATCACTATAAATTAAAAAAAAAGGATTCGTTGCAGGTTAATAATAAATGATGTTGCATGATCGCGGAAGTAAAAAATATGAGAGAAAGTTCCAAATATTGAAAGACAGTTAAATACGTAATGTTCTGTGTCGTTTCCGGAACATCTGTTCGTTTTGGTTCGTTATGACTACCACACAAATATTTGTAAATCCTGCTAAAAAAATAATAATGCATAATGTAGTGAAGATTCATTTATTATACTTTAAATGAAGGAAAATGTATTTATCTAGTTAGTTTTTAGAGTTAAGGTCAATTTGTATTAAGGTTCTAATATTTTGTTTTAAAATGATAATTTTGGTTAGAGATCTTGAAACTAACATATCGTCTATTATGATAATGACATATCACTGCTGCGATAATGATATTTGGCAATAATATGCTTATCAAAAAGAGTGTTCTGGCAATAATCTAATACTTCCTATAGTCTTTAATACTATTTCAGTCCTTAATATAGGACCTAAATGTTGAGTTGGTTTTAGTTCTAAATATAAGACATATTTATCATATTCATCAATATTTCCTAAATTACTCCAATAGATGCTCCCTCAACCATAATCAAATAGAAGAGAGAGAGAGTATTAAGAAAGATGATTATGTGTTTTAGGAAAAAACATATCATATTTTTTATAATTAAACTAACTTACCTAACTTTCTTAATCTAATCAAATTAGTTAAATAAGTCCTATATTAGGGACCGGGGGAGTATAAAAACTAGTTGACTAATTTGAATAGATTAAAAAAATTAGTTAAGTCAGTTATTTGTAATAAATAGATGTTGTCTTTTCTAGAATACTTTTACTAATATATGTATTGATTTTTTTGGCCAACATATATGTATTGATTAAAACTACTATTTGATAAAACTTTTAATATATATAACTACTATAAGGACTACCTTGAAAAAATATATAAATATAAGAGACAAGTAGATTAGAATCTTGTATTTAGGATTAAATTAAAAGTCAAACTAATTTTTATATTAAAGACAAGGGGTTGTAATAAGGATGTTGACCAAGGTTATTGTAAGAATTGATTTCTAAGCGGAGAAGAATACACAACAGCCCAAATAAAGCAGCTATGCTTTCCCTCAAATGAAATTGAAACAAAATACTTGTATGAGAAAAAAGTTAATATATATCTGCATCTGCTCAGTCCTGTGTTAACGTTTTCGGTGGATTCTGATAATAGGAGATTGAATTTGTTAATGAAAATGGAGAACCCCTTTTGATTCATTGTCAAATCTGCTGCTCCTCAATATAAACCTTTCAGGCGTGTGTTCCCGCAGGTTTTCAAGCACAAAATGCTGTGCATGATGTACCAAGGTCTGACCTGTTCTTTCGGTCCATTAAAATGTTTTGTAGGTTCTTGAAGTTTATCAAATTTTAATTTTAGCTTCTTAGTTTGGGGAGTTTGGCAACTCTTTAGGATCACTTAAAAAAAAAAAACTTTCATATCAGTTAAGTCGAGATGAAATTTGTCTCACTTACTTATTTATCTTGTGTATTGTAAAATTAATTAATCAAATATAAGGATTTTGTTTGAATTTAACAGCGTTAGTTTTCATTTAACACTATTAGATATATGGACCAAAACTAATAATTGCTAAACGTATATGAACTAAAACTAAAATTTCTTAAAAGTACATAAACTAAATAGTTTTGGTATTATCTCAAACCAAATCCTTATGAAAAAATTATAGGGATGAAAAAAGCACAATTTAAAATTATATGAATCAAAACCAAAAGATCTGAGCAAGTTGTAAATGTCAAAATTAATATTAACCCGTGTGTCATGTAGGTTTTAGTCTTTTTGCTTTTCCTATTATAATGAATGCCACCCCCCCAAAAAAACAAGATTTATTTTATGTTGTTTATGGTCAATATGAAGACTATTATAGCTAATAATTTTTTTCAGCACTAAGGATGTTGTTAAATTTAAAAGCTCATGGATAAGGCTTATCCAGAATTATCACACACAAAAAAAAAAAAAAAAAAAGAGAAGTAAGTCAGAGAGCAAGACATCACAACCTAGATTCATGATCTCCTTCTTATTTTTTTAGGACGTCACATTATCCTTTTACGTAATTGAAATAAGAGGAATGATGTAATACGTATTTTTATAATGCAACATACGTTTGATAGAAATACAAAAAAACAAAAATAATGGGTTTCATGACAAATAATCAAATAAAGTGAACAGGTTGTGATTATTGTTGGTATTATTTTTTTTATTTTATAAAAAAGTACATATCAGTATTTCTATATTCAGGTACACGAGCTCAACTCTCATGCCTTTAATTATATGGATCTGTTAATGACTCAGTTATTTGACTTTGATTCTTAATTATATCTTAAAATTTATAAATGAAGTTCAAGGGATTTATACAACATGATGAAAAGTACGTATGTCCCCCCAGACTAACACGATGTATCACATGGAACAAAAATATCTATACGGGAAAACTAATCAGAGAGTCGGTGCCCTGTAGGTTACATTGGAGATAATTAATCAATAACAATAATCAGTGTGATTTTCACTAGATATATAATTTGAATTATATGGAGCTCCATCCAGAAGGGTTGAATGGCAATAGGAATTAGGAAACATTCTGGATTGGATATTTTTAGAAAATATGTGTAATGACACTATAACGTACGTGTGTCCCACCACCGTCGTTGTTGCTTAATTTGAATAACCCAGGCAAAAATATCTTGATGACTTCTTTTTTTGCTAAATAACACGCCTCCGGTCCTTAATATAGGATCTGATTCTTCAGTTGGTTTTGGTTCTAAATATAAGACTTATTTTTCATATTTATCAATTTTCTCTAAATTACCCCTATGGATACTCCTTCAATAATAACCAAGTAGAAGAAGAAGATAGGGTATTAAGAAAGATGGTTATAGTGTTTTAAGAAAATGTCTCACTTTTTTATAATTAACTAACTTACCTAACTTCCTTAATCTAATCAAATTAGTTAAATGGGTCTTATATTAAGGACCGAAAGAGTAGAAAGTTGGAATTTAATCTACTCTGGGGCTCACATCACATCGTACTAGATCCGACCTAATTACATACCTGTCATCAAACAATTTTATTTTTAATAATATTATTAGTTAAGCAAAACGAATATTAAACCCAATTACCAGTCATTAGTGGTAAATTTCAAATATTATTACTAAAGGGAGGCTGATGCATTGTTTAGTTTATTTTTATAAAATTAAACTTTTGCTCGAATATGTGTAAAACTGTAATTTTTTTTTTGGAAAAATATTGTCGTTGTTATTGGTAGTCATAAGAAAATGATGGAAATTTAAGTGGTGGTATGCATAGCCTAACGTATCCAAAACATACTTTTCCAAATTTCAACAAATTGTAGGACTTGGCAAAATAATTGATTGGTCAAACTTGTTCAGTCTTGAAAGTAATTGGTTAGATCCGATTGTTCAATTTTACCATTGTTTATCCGTTAGTTTTGATGTACTCTTCCGATCTTAAATATAAAAACCTTATGCACATAAGTGTCTTATATTTAGAACCGCAGTAATAAATTTGAAAATTTCTTTATAAACAAAGTCAACACTGATTTAAATAGAATTTCCTTTTTTGTGTTCCATCTATTTTAATATTAAACCAAATCAAATCACACTGCAGGATAATAACCATGAAGATCAGCTGGCGCAGAAAATCCAACATTACAGTCATTGCATAGGATTATTATAATCACAGTAAATTACAGCAATTGTAGTAATGTAGTTGTGCTCATGAGTATTGAAAACAGATTCCAGGGGACTGGGCCCAGGAAGAGGGCAATGCATCTTTTTATTCAAAAAAAAAGAAGAAGAAAAGGCCCAAAGATGAGTCGCCGTTTATTTATTAAACTTTCTAGCCGTTGGAATTTGAAAACTTGTCGCAATTATTCCCCTTACGGTTTGACTAAAATGCCCCTCCGATTCAAATCGCCAGACCGCTCTATTCCTTTCCCTTTTTGAATTTCGGATCAAAATCTCAGCCCTTCACTTCAAACTCATTTCATTATTGGTTCAAGCGGAAACCTCACCCCGGGAGTGGGAAAGAGCAGAGAGGGTAGTCAATGACCATGGTCCAAGTTCGCCTTCAATCTCGAAATCCCTAGTTACCACCAGCTAAACTCACATTGATCACTGCGAAAGCAGGTTCAGGATTACTCAGATTCGTCGATTTGGAATTTTGTTTTTCAATTCCTCTTTCAGGTGCTCATTTTCATTTTTACAAGGGCAGCTTTTACATATGTTTTTTTCCCCCCCAATATCATTTGAAGTATCAGTCTCTTCATACTGCCTTTCTTGTTCGTTGGGAATCTTTGGATGCTAGAATGTTGAAAGATTTCAAATTCATGCGTCGAAATTCTGGCAAGACTGAGGAAATCGAGAATGTACCTGTGGATCCCAAGGATTCAACAACTGCTCAGAGCGTCGCTGACAGTTCTAGACCTCCGTTAAATACAATCCAAGATCCTTTACATATCCCCAAACCCGAGCAAGATGTGGCTTCTCAAAACAAGATTAACAGGACTCCTAAGGCTAAGGGCAAGGTTTCTGAATCAGCATTACCTCTGCGGACGCCGGATAAGCTTGGCAGTAGCTTAATGGCAAAGAACCGGTTTGGCTGGGCTCAGAAGAATGAACCCGCCTCAGTATATGGTGATCTGCGTGATGATAGAAGAGGCACTGCGGGTTTTGGAAATGGGGGTTTGGTGAATGCAACTCCTCGGTCGGCAACTCGCACCGCAGGAAGGGCTACCATGAGTTGTTCTGAGAGCAACTCAACGCAAAGCACACCATCAAAAAGTGTCACTAAGCCTCCGAATTCAGGTATTCGGTGCAAGGCTGAGGGAAACTTTAATGCTCGCCTAGGGAATTATGCTGCATTGTACAAAGGGATTCCTAGTTCATCTGGTCCGCCTACTGTTGTTAATACCGTCGAAGTGCCTCACTTTGATCTAAAAGAAGATACATCATTTTGGATAAATCACAATGTACAGGTTAGTTCAGTTGAGTTGAGTGCATTCGCTTGTAAATTATGTCATTATTTGATAGTTGATGGTTTAAGAGAAAACCCTACTTTGGCATGAATATCAACTTAATACTCCATGGATTTCTTGTGTCACTTTGGCCCCCAAAGTTTGAATTTGTTGAAACATCATATAATATTTAATTATTGAAAGATTGCATTCTTTTATTACTTTTAGAAGGGTGAACCTAGAACGAAAATAATATTTTCAAGCATCAAAGTCACAGAAAAAACCTTCCGAATATTCAAAAAGTGGTTCATACTTCATACTGTGCTGGGGACTGTGGATTCTGATGCTTTTACTTGTCAACCACACACATAGGTAATTATAAGAGTTCGTCCTCTCAATAGCATGGAGCGGGCCAGCCAAGGATATAACAGGTGTTTGAAACAAGAAAGTGCTCACAGCATAACTTGGATCGGGCAACCTGAAACTCGTTTCACTTTTGATCACGTTGCGTGTGAAACAATAGACCAGGTTTGGTAACATCCCAGAAACAATTTGGTACAGAAATTGCTTTGTATGAAGTTATTCATTTCCAGCTCATATTTGTGATTTTGTAGGAAACTGTTTTCAGAATGGCTGGTCTACCGATGGTGGAGAACTGCCTCTCAGGATATAATAGCTGTATGTTTGCATATGGACAGGTATACTCCTAAACAAACGTTTTATTCCATCTTGAGATATTGTTAAGCATGTAAGATATAATTTTCCATACAATATTCCACTATAGTGCTTAGCATTGCTCTTTCTTTCTTTTAAATGTTATATCACCTAAGCAACGTAGTGTTGAATGGCCGCCTTTGAGAGTAAGTGCTGGTGAGTTCAGTCCTTATTTCCCTCTATCAAGTGGTGATGTTGAGCTGCATCATTCAGCATTTTAATAGGGGAAAGTAGTTGCTTCAGCTTGTCATTGTTTCATACTTCCAAGACCGCCCTATCAAATAGGATGTTGACTTGTACTCCAGCATTGGTTAAATATTTTTCTGTTTGACAAAATAGGGGCTTCAGTTTGTTCGTGTCATGTTGCACTAATAAGAAGTATGATAAATATAAGTCGTTTGTTGAGAGGTTGTTTGCTCTGCTGTTCTCTTTTGGTTACGAATGCACAATAACAATGCTTTGATTACAATAAATAACAAACTATTTCTTTTTCTCCTCCTCATTCTTCCTGCAAAAAAAAAAAAAAAAAAGGAAAAAAACTCGAAGGTGACAAATAGTTTTTGTTGTAGACTGGAAGCGGGAAGACATACACGATGCTTGGTGAAATTGAAGATTTAGATGTGAAGCCTAGTCCACAACGCGGAATGACTCCACGCATTTTTGAATTTTTATTTGCTAGGATCCAAGCTGTAAGTTCATAACTTGTAGCTACTTACAATTTTGATATATAAAGAAGCCCATTTTCATGATCAGTGCATAACGCTTATATGCCTAACTTTTTTATCTTTTCCATTCTACTCACCAATTAACAGGAAGAGGAAAGCCGAAGGGATGAGAACTTAAAATACAATTGCAAATGTTCCTTCTTGGAGATTTATAATGAACAAATCACGGATCTCCTCGATCCCTCATCTACTAATTTGCTTGTGAGTCTAGTTCTTCCCCCATCAAATGAGCGTTGAAGTTCTATTATTTTTTCTGATTGTACCTTTTCTCTATAGCTGCGGGAGGATGTCAAGATAGGTGTTTACGTTGAGAATGTATCTGAGTTTGAAGTTCACACTGTGAGTGATATCATAAGGCTTCTAACTCAGGTAGTGACCTTAAATCTTATTATTTGGTTCGTGGCATCTCTCTCTCCCCCCACCTTCCTTGTTTATTTGAATGGTGGATGATATGTATGTGCATGCTGGCTAGCACGCCATCCACTAAGTTGTAGTTTTCTTAATGTAGGGATCCGCAAATAGAAAAGTTGCAGCAACAAACATGAATAGAGAGAGCAGTAGGTCCCACAGTGTTTTTACATGTGTGATTGAGAGCAGATGGAAAAGGATTCCACAACTAACTTTCGTTTTGCAAGGTTAAACCTGGTTGATTTAGCTGGTTCAGAAAGGTAAGAGAACGCTTTTTGACTGATTGAGTCAAATTTAATTCGACATTCATTTGAATTTGCACTAATTAAATTTCCATTTACAACACAATAGACAGAAAACTTCTGGTGCTGATGGTGAGCGTTTAAAGGAGGCCGCTAGTATCAATAAATCATTATCTACCTTGGGGTACTTTTTACTATCTAAATGAATATATACTTGCCATTAATTTATAGTGTATAAATTTATTGGAGCTATGCTGCTTTTTAATTAGTATTATTAATTAGTAAGTATTCTCTAAATGTGCTTGCAGTCATGTGATAATGATACTAGCAGATGTGGCACAAGGAAAAATGAGGCATGTTCCTTATAGGGACTCGAAGCTAACATTTCTTCTTCAGGTTAAATACCATTACCATTAGTTTCTTTGAAAAGTCTTCATTGTCAAGGTTTATAGTCATTAATATTTTGGTATTAAATATAACTCAGGACTCCCTTGGTGGAAACTCAAAAACAATGATCGTTGCCAATGTCAGCCCTTCTATCTGGTCTGTGCTTTTGTTTGTAATTTTTTCTTTCATAGAGTATTTATAAATTGTCATGAAAATGCGATGGACCCTTGTTCATTTTTGCAGTTGTGCAGCTGAAACACTGAATACACTTAAATTTGCCCAGAGAGCAAAACTTATTCAGAATAATGTGAGCTATTCTATACCAAGTTTGTGCTTTTTTTCCCCTAAAGAGGATAGAATCTTATCTCATTGAGATCTACGCATCTTGTGCCATGTAGGCTGTGGTAAATGAAGATTCTACGGGAGATGTCATTGCTCTGCAGCAACAAATACGACTTTTGAAGGTGGTATCATTTCTTTAGTCCTGGTGCACGTACATGTGTCAAAAGCATAATTTCTAACTCATTGGTTGAAATTTGGGGCAGGAGGAGCTTTCTACCCTCAAACATCTGAATGTCTCCAGGTCCTTGTCATTTGGTGGGGCACCTGTCAAAATTATGAAAGAAGCACTGGAAGGAAGCTCAGAAAATGCATTTGAGGTAGAGAAACAGCATGGTGATAATATGCTTGATTGCCAATCCAAGGGAATCAAAATGTCCAGCAAACAGGTATGCATGCATCTTCTTGGCTTATGATGGTTTGATCTCCATTCTAGTTGTATAATAGAATGGATGCTTCACTTCTCGATGGTCGTAATATTGTTTCTATTTTTTTCGGCCTTATTCAAAATTGGATATTTTAAAGGCTAGTCATATGTTATTCATCATGTGCAATGAATTACATTTTACATATAAATAAAACATGCCACTATGTTGCTATCTTCGTATGAAATAAGTAACATTTATTGACGTATACAACATGAATGTTAAACCATTGTTAATAGCATCACCAAGAAAGACAGCACATTTTTGTTTCTCTTGCATCATCATCCATCATCTAACATTTCACTATTTCCGTGGCCTAGTTGAAATCACTGGAGGCAACTCTTGCTGGTGCTTTGAGAAGAGAGCAGATGGCAGAAACTTCTATCAAGCAACTAGAAGCAGAAATTGAACAATTAAACCGATTGGTACTTTTCTTTATTATTGTCCAAGTATGAGTAGACTCAATTTGATGTGGGGACATAATTAGGCTTAATAAGTAACATAAAATAAAGTGGAAGGACCCATAAACTTAAACTTTAAGGTTTTGAGTTAAGATGCGTCTCTTCTATTGCTCTGTCTTTTGTTTTTGGGCCTTACTTTTTGTTTCTTACAAGTGGTGTCAGACCTTGATTTTTCTCGGAATTGATGTGAAAAAGACTTCGCTTCCCATTCTGTACAAGTGGTATTAGAGCCTAGTTTCACTTGGAATTGATGTGAAAAAAATGTCATTGGAAGCCTTTAATTGCACACGCATTGGAAGCCTAAAAGTGAGACTAACCCTAGTTTTGCCTAGGGAGTTGTATGTGTGCGTGCCACACAAGGGCTTGGTGTTTGTGATGTGCTAATGGACTCACACTGTTTGAAGGAGGGATTGTTAAGATGCTCAAGTATGAGTGCGTTTGAGTTGATGTGGGAGGAGACTGTTAAGATGTCCAAAATAGGGAGGCCATAACAGGTGGGTGAACTCACACCTGAAGAAGAGATTGTTAGGATGTTCAAGTATGATCGCACCTGAGTTAATGTTAGAGGAAATTATTAAAATGTTTAAGGGAGATAGTTAGGACGTACAAGTATGGATGAGTGATGGGTATCTAAGTGGGATGGGTAACCCTAACCCAAAAGTTAGCTATTGAGGTGAGAGAACTAAACCACTTTAATACCTCATTAAACATCTCATTCTACTTATTGTGGGATTTGGCATCCCATACCACAAAGTCCCCATCAATTTGGCCTCCTGTGGAAAGCCGACGTTCCTGTGGTTATACTCTACAACACTTTACTTGGCATTCGACAAGTTAGAACCCTTCATAGGCAGCCCTCTCTGAAACCGTGGCTCTAATGCCAATTGATTGGTACCTAAGTGGGAAGCTAGCTGTTGACATGTGAGAACCAATCCACTATTGAGCATCTCATTTTACTTAATATGGGACTATGTATCCCATACTACCAAGTCCCCATTCGTGAAGTGGTGGAGGAGGATATAGTTAGGGTACCCAAAATATGGAGGAGCTAACGGGCAAGTATATTCTCTCTTGAATAAAATATTATTAGATGTCCAAGTATGGGTGGACTTGAGTTGATGAGAGAGGAGATTGTTAGGACATCCAAAGATGAGTGGACTTGACTTGGTGTGAGTAGAGATTGTTAGGATGTCTAAATGTAAATGGATTTGAGTTGATGGTAGAGGAAATTGTTAAGATGTCCAAGTGTGAGTGAGGTAATGTGTTTACACTTGAAGTAGAGATTGTTAAAATTGCCAGGTGTGAGCAGATTTAGTGTCAATGGGTAGTGCCTTAATGTTCATAACGTATTAATATGGAGGAGTTAATGGACTTATACTTAAAGGGGAGATTGTGAAGATGTCCATGTCTGAGTGGATTTGTGTTGATGTGGGAGGAGATCGTTAGAATGTTAGTGTGAGTGGACTTGAGTTGACGTGGGAGAAGATTGTTAGGATGTTCAAGCATGAGTAGATTTAAGTTGACAGGGGAGGAGATTGTTAGGATGTCCAAACGTCGGTGTATGTGCAAAGTTCCATGTAGAATATAATTGGGATTAATAAGTTACATATAATAAAGTGAAAAGAGTAAATAAAGATTTGTATATTTCCATTAGACCTTACCTCGTTTTTCCCTGAATCTATTTCCTTTTAGGCTCGTCAAAGAGAGGAAGACGCCAGGAGTTGCAAAATGATGCTTAAGTTTCGGGAAGACAAAATTCGAAGGACGGAATCCCTTCTTGCTGGTTCTATTCCTATAGATATCTACTTGCAAGAAGAGAATAAAGCATTGTCTGATGAGATTCAGCTTCTTCAGGCCAAACTTGACCGAAATCCCGAAGTTACACGGTTTGCATTGGAGAACATCAGGCTTTTAGACCAGCTTAGGAGGTGATTATCTCTTTCTTCCCAAGACAATCAATACTGAGATGGGTCTGTCAAGTGGAATTATCTAATCATAACTGTAACAGGTTTCAAGAGTTCTATGAAGAAGGGGAGAGGGAGATTTTACTGGCAGAATTGTCCTCTATGCGGGATCAGGTTTGTATATTCCAGAATCTTGTACAAAAATAACTTTCCTTTTAGCTTACTTGTTTGGTAGCTTCTACAAGTGGAAAACTTTTGTTCTGCAGTTGCTTCAATTTCATGAAGGGAACTCAATGCAGAGTAATCCGAATTTCAGCCCGCAGCCTCAGGTTAGACTAGAACTAACTGATGTATCATTTCTTATTTTCCATTCCTTTGTACATCTCATTCCTTTTCTTTTGTCCTTATAAATGTCACCGTTGCTGCAGAAGGTCCCATGCAGTAAGAAAGAAGACGATTCTGTCAATCTAGAGGTTTTCATCCAGTCCTTATCATATATAGAACTGTTCAACTCGCCGTACAAGCGTGACATTTTTTTTTTAATGGTTGCAGCTAAGAAACGCTCTCAACGAGTTAGAGGAATGCAGGCGTAACTTGAATTGTTGCTTGGAGGAGAACGCAAAACTTAGCAGGTATGGCTTTTCGTTCCCCCAAGTCATTTGGTTGCATCTGTGCGGATTGAGATTCTCGTTTTGGCTTGACTATCCTAATACTTGTTTATTGTTGCTTTGCATGGCATAACAGGGAAATAGATTCTCTTCACTCAATGGTGAGCAGCATAAATGCCACACAGGTATTATTATTATTATTATTATTCTTTAAAAGCACTTCTCTGGCCTTTGCTTTTGCTAGATTATATATAACATTATGTAACGAGAAGGGGGATGTAAATGGCGTTCACCATAAGGAGTTTGCGGGTGGCGCCCCACTTGTTTAGTTGGATTTAGTATTATGCTACTTTTAAGATCGGGGTCTTGGTACAGCCTCATTAGTCTATTTAGCATTGGGCTGAGTTGGGCTATTTCTTTTTAAGACAGACTCAGAAATAAGTCAGATAACTAAAGAAAAACATTTTGAGTTATTAGTTCTTTTAACTTCTGTAAATTTGTCCTAAAAAATTTACAAATATGTTATCATGTTAAGATAAAGTCGGGGATTTAAGTTGGTTAGTGTGATTGGCATGGCTCAATCGAGTGACTCGAGCCAATCCATTTAATTTTCTTCAGTCCAGCTTGAAGTGATCAGACCACCGTGCCACTTACTTCCAGAGCCCGGTCATATTGCTGGATCTTTAGTAAAGAGAAATGGCATGAATTGTTTTGTAGCCCACCTTCTGTGTGATGAGTTCAGTGTTGGGAGAAATAACGTTGATTTTTGTTATTATTTTCAGGATTCTATAAAGGGGCCATCCCATGAAGCTGAGGCAATCCCGCCTAAGATGATGAAGGGCAGAAATGAACCCCCGATAGCTAAACACACAGAAGATATCCTGAATTTGCAGCTGGAATTAGATATACTGAAGATCATTTTGAAAGAGGAGAGGTCTTTGCGTGGCTTGATGGAGGAGCAAACAACATGCTTAAATACAAATCTTGAAATAGAAAAAGGCGAACTTTTGCAGACAAGAAAACAGTTGAAGGAAGCAAAAGACGAGCTGAAGGAGACAAAATCTGTTATTGACGCTTTGGAATCACAGCAAATTTTATCATTTGATGAGATGGAGGACATAAAGAACAAGAATAGCGATTACATGGAGCTTCTGAGGAAACAGGAGCTTGAAATCAGGGCCTTGAAGAACCAACTTGCTTCCAAAGAATTAAGAGATAATATACCTGCAAAGCATTTGGAGGTAGAAAGCAAATCCTCATTGCAGACAAAACTGAAAAGGATGCATGATTCGCTCGAAAAAGCCAAGCAACTGAATATGTTATACCAAAGTGATCGTTCATTTCAAATTTCTAATGAAGAAGAGATGGATGAAATCAGACGGCAGGCTGAGGCTGAAACTGCTGAGGCGATTGTCTGTATGCAAGAAGAACTTGCCGCGCTCCAACATCAGATACATGACAGTCATTTAAAAGAACTAGAAATGAAAGAGAGAATACTGCATTTGGAAAGCGAACTGAAGGAGGTGCAGGAAGCATTGTTCACTACAATGAATGACAGGGGACAACTAAGCGAAGAGCTTGAGGCCAGAGATCAGGAACTACAATCACTGGCTGAAGAATGCGAACTGCTAACCTCCGAGATTGAAGAGATTCTTGCTGATGGATGCGAGGCACTCCTTGATGCCTCTGATCAAGTTGACCATATATGCAAGTCATTTCCACAGAAAAGGATCTGGATTTCGGAACAAGTCGGCATGATGGTAAGAAAAATCTCTGAAAAGGAATTATTAATTGATGAACTCAGCAAATGTCTTGAAGACGCAAGCAATAAAAGAAGTGATATGGAATGTATGCTGAAGTCTTTAAGAAGTGCAGCGCTGGTAATTACTGAAGCCCACCAGAAAGAGTGCACTGAGAAAGACAAAGAAATTCACCTATTGACATCACAACTAAATGGCAAGATATCCACTATGACGAAACTAGAGGAGCAGCTAAAATTGGCAGAAGAGCATATAAGAAAAGCATCAAATTGTGCAACTGTTGCTTTTGTGATCGTGAATAGATTGTCAGAAGTGAATCTTGGTTGCCTTGATGATCTAAAGCAAAAGGATCTTTTGCTCAGTGAATTAGCAGAGATCAACCAGAGGAAGGATGTCCTTCTCAACGATCAGTCCATTTCAATTGTACAAGCAGAGAGACGCATGGCAGAATTGGAGGAAAGCTGTGATAATTTGAGGAAGAATCTTTGTGAGGAGCAGGAGCATTCTAGTGCTCTGGAACAAAAGCTTAAAGGTATTGAAACAAATGCCATATCAGATACAAGGGAGCAACTTGCGGCATTGCAAGAAGGTGTGTCCTCAGTCAGGTCATCAATGGCCTCATATGCAGAGCATTCTAAATTTCTTGATTCTAAAAATTCCTTGGAAGTGGGCTCGCAACATTTTGAAGGCAAGGGTGGAGCAAGGGTAAGCACATTTTCTTTTTGGTAGATTGATTGAAGTCAAGTCACGTTTATGTCACTTGCAGCCGTGATTTGTCAGCGGGTTTTATTTAATTTATGCTATTTTGGATGCTCTGCAGACAGGTACTGGAGCATATCCAAACAATAATTTAGATACAAATTCTGTTGAAGAGTCGATAATTGACCTGGCAGATTGTTCCTTTAATTCTGTGAAAAGTGGAAAGGATACAGAAGACCAAAAATCCAGAAAATTTTGTCAGGATGGTTATGCAAGAGATGTTACAATTACACTATTGAAAAAGGAAATAGAGCGTGCTCTGGGAAGCTTAAAAGAGGTGCAAGATGAGATGGCCAGACTTCATCAAGAGAAAAAAGAGATGTCAATGTCTGAAAAGCAGAGTCAGCAAAGCATCAAGTGCCTCACAACTGAGCTACATGCCATTCAAGCGGCTATGAGTGACTTTGAAGAACAATCCAAGATCAAAGTTCAGGCACTGAGTGATAAGGTCAAAGAACTAGAGGAAACTCTGAAGGAAGATGGCCGTCATTGGCATCAATCGAAAGAGGTAATGCTTTATGTTTAAGACCTAATTCTCAGTGCGAAACCTCTATTCCATCTTTTATTCTCTTCAATTCAACTATAAAATCCGGTATCTGTTTCATATCATCCATTGCAATAATCTACTTGCTAGTCTCATTGTCTTGTACTTTCCTACATATATTTAACACTTTCTTTTAACATTGAATTATCAATGCTAGCTTTGAACAACTTTCTAAACAATCTTTACTGTTGTCTTTTTGCAGTGGCTTGAAATGGAAGTTGGTGAGGCAAAGATCATTGCCGCTCAGAAAGCTGCAGAGACTTCTTGTATTCGTGCCAAATTTGAAGAAGCCCAAGAAACAACGAAAGAAGCGGATATCATGATCAATGAATTGATGATAGCTAATGAGTCAATGAAACATGATATAGAAAGACTTAAAGAAGCGGAAGTCATATTAATCAACGAGAAGGGTCTCTTACTGAGGGAGAAAGAGAGTTTTCTATCTGTTATTAATATAAAGAATAAAGAGATAGAAGACATCGTTGAAACAAATCTGATAGAGACAAAGAATATCCTTGAGGTGTTCGATGATGTCATCAAAGAATTCCAATCCACTGTGAAGGAAAACTTCATCTCCTTAGGGTGTGATTTCCAGTGCATTAAGTCTCAGTTTTCATATTCAACTAAGCTACTACAATCATGGCTTGAAAAGGTCTGGTCTGAAATTGTTGTTAAGGATTGTACTCTCTCTGTGTTACATCTCTGTCACATTGGAATTCTACTAGAAACAGTGACAGGGCTACATACAGAGAATGGTCTGCTTTCACACGGGCTGTGCGAATCAAACTCCCTCATCAGTGACCTGAAAGAGCACAATTCTAAAACAAGAAAAGAACTGGAGATGTTCAGCATACTGAAGAGAAAACTACTTGCTGACATCAAGAACAGTTTTGATCGGATTTCCAGCAAGGAAAAAGAAGCCAGTGAAATCACCATCAACTTGAACAATTTTGAGAAGAAGATATCAGACCTACAACTTCAAGAAGAAATGATGTTGCAAAGGTCTAAGGAAATGGAATCTCAACTTGCTGAATTGATGAGAGAATCGGACTTGAGTAATACAGATGTTGTGACATCCCTTTTAGATCAAGAGCAAATACTTGAACATAAGGTAGAGGTCCTTGAATCCCAAGCTGAAGTTTTCATGGCAAGTTGGTACTGCAAAGACTTTGAGTCACTCATTTTTGCTTTGGAACTAGAAAATCTAGCCTGTCAAATAGACGATAAAGAGGATGACTTGATGATGTGTTCTAAGCTGAGTGAGCATTTGAAGGAAGAAGTAATTTGTTTCCAGCTAGAAGCAGAGTTTGCAGCACAGATTTTGAGGGACACGGAAGTTGAGCTTTCTGTGCTTAAAGGCGAAATTCAACAGAAAGAAGGGGAGAAGAAAGACTTGCTGTCAGAGCTGAACCAGAACGAGTTAAAGCTTGCTGAGATGGGTGAAGTGAACAAGTCCCTCCAACAACATATTGAGTTTCTAGAAGATGATGCTCGTTCAAATAATGCATTGAAGGGTGAACTTGGTAAAATAACGGAAGACAAGAAAAGACTGATGGACAAGAATTTAGATCTTGAAACTGAATATGATAAGCTAATTCAGAATCTTATCGAAAAGGATGTTTCCTTAACCTTGTTTTGTCATCAGATTTCTGTTCTCGATCAACAAAACGAAGAATTGCATAAAGTTAACCAGATGCTGGAAAATTCGTCTGGCAGACTTCAGAATGAGCTGGACATCAGGAATGAAAAGTTAGATAGACTACACAGCTTGGGGAATGAGAATGAATCACTGAGAAACGGGGTGGAAATTTTAAAGACTGGTAACGGCTTACTTCTTCAATCCTTGGACAAGCGAATTTCTGATTTTAAACGACTGTCAAGGTGCCAGGATCTCTTTGATAAGGAAAATTGTTTGCTGCATGATTTTATAAGTTCTTTAGAGTGTCACATTGACAGTCTACAGACTGATCTGGAGACAGAAACTAGAAAGCTGAGTGATATCGTAGGTTCTCAATCTGTCACGATTGAAGAAATAAGGTTTAAATGCCAGGAATTTCAGAATTATGTTGGCACTGTAAACAAAATGAAGGAAGAAAATGCTTCTTTGCAAAAAAGAACTCAGCTATACGAGAACATACTGTTGAGTTGGGAAGCGGTCAGACCAGTTGATTTGGTGAAAACTATTGAGATGAAGTTTGGCAGATTATCCGAGACACTGAGAGAAGGAAGTCTTATAATGACAGACAACATTATTCGTGGCCATTGTGAAAATGTGGAGATGGCATCTAAATTCATTAAACAATTTGAATGCTTGGAGTTCAATGCTAAAGAACTGGCAGCAACTAGTTCAACTCTCCAGGCTGAGTTATCCAGAAAGGATGATGTAATTAAAGGGTTACTGTATGACCTGAGCTTGCTGCAGGAATCTGCATCTGAATGTAAGGATCACAAAGATGAAATTGAGGAAATGGGAGCTACTATAGAAACATTGGAAGATGGTCTTGCCGTTAAATCAGGTGAGCTTGCTGCTGCAGTTGCTAACTGTCAAACGTTGGAAGCTCAGTTGCAGGACAAATCGGATGTTATTGCAACTCTTGAATTAAATCTCTCAAGAGAACAGGAGTCTGTGAAATTGCTAGTTAGTGAAAAAGGGGAACTTGGAGATCAAATTGAACGTGCATTTGCAGCGAAAAGATTGGCTGAAGATGAGCTGACAGAGAAAAGAAAGATCGCGGAGAGCTTAGAAAATGAAATCTCGGAAATGAGCAGTACTCTTACCCAAATGAATGAACTTGCAACTGAGAGGGATCGGCTTCAACTGCAGGTGCTTAGCCTTAGACAAAAGCTTGAAAAGGCTAGAGCAGAAGTTGAAGAAAGTGAAGCGATGGCTCAAGAAGCTCAGCAGGTAATGCTTTATTAACAAACTTGATCTGTAGTACCACGTCTTAAGTAGTCGTTGAGTTTACATTCTCAGCAGTTTTAACGCGTGGATAACTAAATTTCCATATAAACTGATATAGCAAGCATTTACATCTATCTTCCCTAATTTTCAACTGGCTGCGTCTAAATTCTGGACGAGTTGAGAATTTCTTTTTGGGCTGCGTACACTAGCGATAGGGTAAAAAGGGTCAACATTGTAGCATTCAAAGGAAAATTTGTTCCCACCTGAGAATTGTTTCAATAATCGCAGATGGCAGAATCAAGAAAGGTCTATGCTGAGGACAAGGAAGCGGAGGTGAAGCTTTTAGAGCGATCAGTTGAAGAGTTGGAGTGTACTATAAATGTACTAGAAAACAAAGTGAGTTAGTGTTACTTTTATAACATCTTCAGGAAGCTTGTCTATCTTTATAAGCATCGCAACTCAAAGTCATTCTGCCAGGTTGACATACTAAAGGGAGAAGCAGAACGACAGCGGCTGCAGAGAGAAGAGCTGGAACTGGAGCTTCATGCTGTCAAGCATCAGATGCAAAACATTAGAAATGCTGATGCGGACATGAGAAGGTTTAGACCAGCTATTCTTTTATTCTCCTTATATTAGTCATTCGCTAGACTCTAAGCCTTAGAGGGCGTATGCAGAAGCAGAACTTTGGTTCCAATTTACGGTATGTTCAAGATATTGCTGTTTCTTTTTGTGCCGCAGGCTTTTGGATGAAAAAAACAAAAGCGTTGAAGAAGCCCTAGATCACGTACAAGTTCTTAAGAGAGATTTGATGGGAAAAGATGCAGAGGTGGGACTTCACACTGACTAATTAGGGCTATCATCTAATCTTCTGATGACAGAATATATTTCAAAGTTACGTTGACTAAAATTCGTTCATTTCCCCCTGTCCGCGTGTCTCTTTACCAGATTGCCCAAATGAAAGCTCATATTTCAGAGCTGAATTTGCATGCTGAAGCACAGGCAAAAGAGTACAAGCAGAAGGTAAGTTCAACTATCCCCATTCTGCCTCGGACTCAAAGGGAAACACCCACTGAACTAAAAACAGACGCGTACTAACCACCCTTGACTAAGCAAAATACTCTGTGACACGTGGAAAAAATAAATTTCTGCTTTTTTTTTTTTTTTTACAATTTGAACGTAATATAAAGCAGTTCAAAGCACTCGAAGCTATGGTTGAGCACGTCAAACCTGAAGGGGCCTTATCCACCTATACAAGTACATCATCACACAAGATCGACAGGAATGCAACCAAGCCTCGAGGTTCAGGTTCACCTTTTAAATGCATTGGGTTGGGCCTGGCACAACAGATAAAATCTGAGAAGGTTGAGGAGCTAGCCGCTGCAAGATTCCGTATTGAAGAGTTAGAATCCTTGGCAGTATGTCGACAGAAAGAGGTAACTTCCTTCTTTTTGCAGCATGTTCTGCAGCTGAACCTTGGTCGATGTTCTTCAACGTGCCGCTTTCTTCTCCTTTTCAGATATTTTCGCTGAATGCTAGACTAGCTGCTGCTGAGAGCATGACCCATGATGTAATTCGAGACTTACTCGGAGTCAAGCTGGATATGACCACCTACGTGGTAAAAATCTCTCTTTTTTGTTGTTGTTACTACTACTTGGGCATTTGATTGTGTCAAAGAGAGATGTGCACCGAAACTGGATCTGGTTGCCCATCTCTCCTCTACTCATGCAAATTCATGATATGAAATTGCAAATATAGAGCCATTAAGCTAAAGAGAAAAAAAGCTATACGAAGTATTCCAAAAGAAAATTTAGAATTTTATTTATCCGATGGGGCTCATTTTTATTGTCACTTGCTTTTTTGTAGTCGCTATTGGATAATCAGCAAGTGCAGAAGATAACAGAGAAAGCTCAATTTCATGCTTCACATTCTCAAGAGAAGGTAGCTTCGTTTTAGTGATTCGTGAAATAGGTTGAATAGTTGTCCTTCTGACAAGCTGTTAACATGAACTGCATTACTCATTTCAGGATGAGGAGGTTATTAAACTAAAGAAGCAGCTGAATGAATTTATTGAAGAGAGGCAAGGGTAATCAACTCTCAGATTTCAAATTAGGTTTCCTTTCTTTTAATGCACATTTAACCGCGTGCAAATGAATAACGTTTTTAAGACTCACAAACCTTTGTTTAATAGGTGGCTGCAAGAAGTGGATCGGAAACAAGCCGAATTGGTGGCTGCGCAAATTGCATTGGAGAAACTTCGGCAGCGGGAACAGTCACTGAGAACTGAAAATGAAATTTTGAAGGTAGAACATTAGAAGACAAATTTTCCTCCTTTCTTTCTCTCTCTCTCATTTATTTCAAATTGGTGGCCTTAACGTCCTTCTTTTCATGCAGATGGAGAATGTGAATAACAAGAACAAAGTTCTGGAGCTGGAAGAGGAAATCAAGAAGCTGTCTGGTCAACAGAACCTTCAGCAGCGCATTCATCATCATGCTAAGATTAAGGCAAGATTTTATCATTTTACTCATCTCAAATAGAAGCATGTGTGTTGTAAACCAATTGGTAAGATATACTGTACTGCAGTAGTTATTGGGAATTGCCGTGATTATCTGCATTCTGCAAATTTTGTTGAGAGAGAGAAAATTGTCGTAAAGGGAAGATTTCATTGAAGCCTTTTCTTATTGGGGAGTTTTTCCCAAAGAGAGGTGGAGAAATGGAGGATTTTTCAACTAGTCTTTGTGTCTGCCCTTTCATAATTTTAAGATTTTCCCATGCATGGTTCCTCACCACCAGTCTTTGTGTCTGCCCTTTCATAATTCTAAGATTTTGCCATGCATGGTTCCTCAGCATTCTCATTCCATTTTCTTTGGTTCCTTTCCTTCTGCTTCAGTGTAACTCCCAAGCATGTCTTAATGTTTCTGTAAATCAAATGTCTTCGAAATTGATTTGAGTCGTTCTCCAAATGATGCAACAGGAGGAAAACAACAAGTTGAAGATACAGAATGAAGAACTCGGTACGAAGCTACGAAGATCAGAAATATTCCTTTCACGTGTTAAAGAGGAACTTTCAACCCTTCGTGTTTCTGCTGGGATTAAACCATGCATTGATTTTGAGGAGGAGCAACGCTTGATGATGAAATTTAAGGTTGGGATCTAGAGGAAACTTAATTTACCTTCACTAAATGCAAGTTTTTTTTTTTTTTTTATCAACATCACCAAATACAAGTTGAAGTGATTAATATTTGAGTGAATATTGCCTTAGGGAGTCGAGGAAGAGAAAGTGCTGTTGGCACAACAGTTACTGAGATTGTGTACTAATGTTCTAAAGGTGAGTATTGGTTATTGGTTTTCCTAAACAAATTGAGATAGATAGATTGTTTTAAGTTTGTAAAAGGGAAATGCAATGCAACTAACAACGAAAATCATGATTGTTCAAAATTAAAGCAGTTAATTGAACCACGTTAAAAAAATCTATTCTCTATATGTCAAAACTAATTTCATCAGTTTGAATACTTCAATTAAGGAATCTAATGAATTTGAAGATGTTATATAACAAATTTAGATACTATCAAAAAAAATTCTTGTATACATATTCATCATTATTCTTTCGCTTAAAATTTTTTTGTGGAGTAGTCGACAGGATTCTGGCCCTCACTCCATGCATTGTTTTTCAGGCTGCTGGAATAACAAACCCTGTATCAGATATAAACCCCTCAGTTGCTGAAGAGGCCCTAGAAGAGCTCAAGAATAAGATAGCATCTCTGGAATTGGAAAAGCAAGATTTGAAGTACAAGGTACGCTCAGAATATGCATATATACCTAATCTAAAATACGAAACATCGTGAAAAGAATTAACACGAAGAATGTCAACTCCTATGACAGAACAAAATCATAAACGAAAGGATCAGATTATCTGAACTCATGCCACAAGCTTCATCATTGAACTCTAGAACGGAGGAGAACCGTGTAACTCCCCCCAGAGCATCCCAATCTCCATTTCTCTCCAGTTTTGATCGATAATTAGGATGACTTAGCCATCAGCTAGCTGCGGCTTCACGTTGGTTCTTTTCTGTAAATCTAGAATTTTTTGTTTATCTTGGTTTATATATATTATGATGTAAATAATTTATAGACTGTACAGTTCAAGAAGATATTGATATATGAACTACACAAAACAGAAATGATGGTTTACATCAAGCCTCGGGGAGAGTTTCAAAATTTTTACGTGAACATCCCTGAATCTGGTCTTTTGGTTTTCGCTGCACTGAATTCAGCTACTGGGGTTTACACTCGAGATGAATTTACACTATGGATAACAGGGACGCTAAATATATACTAAACTAGATCTTAAATATGTAAGCTCCGGATTTAGCATTAAGCTTTCAAAATATTAAAAACCCGGCCAGTAAACGGTCTCTTAAAATCTCAATTATAAAAATATGGAAGATCTTCTGTCAAGATAATAAGTAAAACTGATCACAACAGGCCATGGAAATTTGAGTCACCTATTCTTTTGAATAATTTCCGTCAAGATATACACCAAATTCAGGTTAAATTAATTAGCTAGTCATATCAATCAAAGAAAAGCCTTGAGCCAAACTAACTGCATATATTAACGACCTTGCTTGGTTCAGTTGCTCTATTTTTTGGGAAGTTATCTTTCCAATAAGTTGATATATAATTTCCTTGATTAATTTTGTACTTTTTTGAAGAGTTACGATTATTTTCAAACAAATATATCATTTTGAATATGAAAATTGAAAATACATCAATGATCAAGCAAGACACATGCAATACTACAGTAAGTAATCTAAGTTGCATTGCAGCATTTGGCTGCCCAACCACTAACATTTTCAAATAAATATATATCGAGGAAAGTGAATTTTTTTTTCCGGTGTATAAAAAAAAGTGAATATTGTATCATTTAGTAGTTTTAAAGAAGATTAATCCCCACTATAACTACAATTAATTTCTTATCCATATTCCAAGAAGAAAATGTAATAAAAATTAAGACTAATATATATATTTGGTTATTTAATTTTATATAATATTTTAATTTAATTTCTCAATTTAAAAAGGTATATTTTAGTCTTTTAGGTCGTTAGTTGATTTTTTATAATAATTTTAATTATTTTGAAAATTAAACTTAACAGTTTAATATTTGCAAATATTTTGTCAACATAAAATTTATAAATATTTTATCAACATTTAAATTCTCAACATCATTATTTTTGGTCAACGGTTTTAAAATAAAATGTTTAAAATGATTTAAAATATATTTTTTAAAGTTAAAAGAAACAAATTGAAACTTTGTATAAAAATAAAAAACTAAAATTATATTTTAAGTCCAGATGAAATTTTCTCATATATTTATATTGTGTGCCTCTTATACATTTATATCGGGTACCCCAACTCCTTGATTAGGAAAAAAAAAAGCCGCTGGCATCCATTTTATTTTATCAGATGGTTCCGCCGAGTTCTTGCACCGAGCCACAAAACCCTCCAGAGAAGCATTTCCTTTCCCCCTTCAAAGTTCAACACATGACCGTGGCTGCTTGGGGCGAAGCCCATGTTTAGATATCCATCGTGCGGAAAGAGCTTTTAGAATATCATAAATGGCTATCCCTTATCCCTCTTGTCTCGTATCCGCTTCTGCTCGTTTTCAACCCCTGACTGACAAGAATTATATCAGAATCGAGCCTTCCTTCCTTCTGGGATTTAAGGTAATTTAGCTATCCACTGTTTAGTTTAACCTATAAACGATTATCTCCGTACGTAGTGAGAATTATAATGTTGATGCATTCGGAATTTTGGTCTCAAAGACTGCATTTTTGTCATATTTGGTTCCAAATGGTGGTGTGGCTTCTGGTTTAGTTTTTTTATTTGCTTTTACAGACATAACGCTGGTGTTCGTGGGTAGAATTTTAACGAAAAGGAAGATGTGAGCTTTGTATATTGCTATGGTGTGACATAAAACTTATCGTCTTGCTTCATACCAAAGCTGATATAATACGTCCATATTAGTTCGCATAATTTGCTCATTGAGTCAAGTTGAGTTTGTGACGAGGACTTTCATGAAACTTGAAGGTAACGGAAATGCCCAAGAATGCTGCATCCTTTCTCTGCCATGTTAGGATTCAAATAGAAGGTTCTCCATGAGACGAAAATACTGTGACGATCTATCCTGTACCATGCAGTATCGGTACTAAAAAAACCTATTGTGCAAAGCCCTGTGCTTTTTGTTCACCGGAAAAAAAAAAAAAAGGCCCTTTGCTTTTTTGTTAGTGTCATTGTGCCAATCTGCTTTCTTTAGTTGTACCCTGATCTAAGTCAAGGGAACATCAGGAAGCTTTTGACCAGGATCCTTAGTCTAGTGGATATTTCATGAGAATAACTAACTTGGCATGCTATTATAGATAATATGACTCCAAAAGTAGTTTTAATACTACCGAAGCTGACCTTTCGGCATTGTTCGTATTCACTCGTATTCTGAGACTTGGCAGTTTTTATTCTGTCCTTTTGAACTTTCAGACACTTGATGCTTAAGCCATTTGAAGTCTATGGCAATAAATTTTGAATTTAGGTCTTTCTTCCTCCTCCTCTTTTTGTTCTTTTTTCTTTTTTGGGGTGAGTAATACAAGTCTTACCTTAACAGCCTATTTTCTTTTCCATGGCAGAGTACATATTGGGATGTTGAAAAGCGCCATCACTGTTTTAGTGCTAAACATTCTTGTGGGAAATCAGGATCCAAGCTCTCCTGTGCCATGAATATGTCTGCACAAGATTCCGATGATCATCAGAGTATAAATTTGGACCATCTTATTGCCAAAGCACAAAAAATTTGGGACAGGTCCCCTCAGCCTGTCAAGAATTTTCCATGGAACAGAGCCTTGGAGAATTTCATGCAACTTATTCTTGATCTTTCTCTGTCTGTTGTAAAATACTTATCTGTACCTGTGTTGGCAGTTTCCTCTCTTAGTGAGTTGTCATACTGTGCACATGAAAAGAAGTTATTTTTTGTTCCTGTTCCAGTCCTCTTAGGATTTACCATTGCTGGGATCTTGGCCGAGACAGCCTTAGACTCATCTCCACGTTTAAAGGTGCAATCGATCGTTTTGCATAATGTATATTCTGGATTTCTGGCAAAATAATTGATGATGCATTAAATTTCTTTGTCTGTAAAGGCTTATAATATTATAGCCCTTCATGTTTTTCTCCTTTCTTCTTTTTACATTGAAAAACCGCTTTTTGAGTTGCTAAAGACAGAGCATGCTTCTTAACTTTAGTTGGCCTCATTCCAGCTAATGGATTTGTTTCGTGCAAGCCTCTACGGATGGATAGCACGATAACTGTTATAAACGTTATCAAGCATCTAGTTTATATATCAGTGGCTTTGATGTTTCAGCTAGATGAATTTTCTGGATTTGGTGATATGAAACAGAAATTATATGTTAATCATTGACACTTACACGGAGTAGTTAACCTCACTTATACACACGTCAGTTATAACTAATGTAACTGACTTCCCTTAGAACTGGACAGCCAGATGACTGTTTCATTTACTGGAGTCCGCTAGGAATTAAGGTGACATTATTATATTTGATATCATTGTTATTGTTTGGTGTGGGTTTCATCATGGCTTGTCTGTGATTTTGATTTTCAGGCTGCAGAAGTTCCTTGGCATTTGATTGCCATTGCCATTTTGTTCACACTGATTAAATTGCCAGGCCCATATTATCCCTATTGGGGACGCATACTTATTCCACACTTGGCCAATGGGGTTCTTTTGAGGACTCTGTGGCTTGCAATCTTATGGCATAGGAGACCTCAAATAACATCAAAGACGCCAAATTCTGTTGATGGCAGTCACTAGATCTGCTGAGTGCTGAGCTATGATTCCAGTCATCATCGTATATCAATCAGGTACTTTTCCACTAGTCAAGAAAGAAAAGTTGTAGTAGGCTGCCGTAGTAACCAGGTACGACTTATAATGGTCTAAATCCTATGGATGTTTTAATGCTTAGGATTTTGCACGTGGCAATAGCGAGGAAACCTTGTGTAGCTCAAATTACGGCATAGCTGTATCAAGCTTCTTTGTTTTTTTTTTTTTTAGCTCCTATATTTTTCTTAATTTTGAACTTTCGTATGAGTTGATCTGAATGGGTTTTTGTTTGCCTGAGGAGCAAATTCGTCAGGATTCCGTACACTAAGATTTTTTTTCCCAGCATTACGTTCCCTAAGATGAAGATCTGTCAATAAGGATTTATATGTTATACACAATATGAAATGGGATTAAATAATTTTGAAGACAAAATAATCATCATGTACCTCCTATTTAGGTTAGAATAAAAGATCAAAATTTAGTCATGATCATATTGAAGGAACATTAAACCGCCAGGAGGCCGTAAGTAAAGCAAGAATCTGGTAATCAATCAGTGACTGAATCATATCGCAGGGTGCTTCTCAAGATATGCTTGACTGTAATCATTTTCGTTCAAGCCTTTGTTTCATCACTTAGAACCGACTGAAAATATTTGGGTGGAAACAAAATTATAATGTTAAAAATAATTTTACAGTATATAAAATAAATATATAAAAAAATTTATCTTAATGTGTTAAAAAATGTTTTTTCAAATGCCTTTTCCATCCGCCTGTGAGACAATTAGATCAAAACGCGAATGTACCGAAAGTAAAATAAATTTGATTGCTATACGTAGAAGTGAATCAACAATATTATCAAATAGTAATTGAAGCGATTCCCAATAGTTGCACGTCAAAAATTACTTTCCATTTGGAGCCTAAAATATTTAAGTAGAAATTAGGTAATGACACTAAATAATCGTAACCATAGCAGGAGGGTTAAACACGTAAAAAGTGAGGAGCATCAATTCATAAAGTAATAATAATACAGGAGAAAACATGCCCACCCCCAACATCAGCACACAATGAGGAAATTCAAGTACATGGATTCTCTCTTTTACAAGGGGAGACCCAACCATGGAGATCCTTCTTTAAAGAAGGGAAAGCTTTCTGAACATTTTCCACACTTAGCTTTCTGAACATTCTCAACCAGAAGTTAAAAATCAGGATTAATTGCATACACTATTTCTCCACTGCTATCGACGTCAAGATCAGGATCAGACTCCAGGTCCTCCTCCATGTCGTCATCAATATCTAAGCTTCCAGTGAGATAGTTGTTGAGAGACTGAGTCCCAGCTGCAGGAATTGTAGCTTCAGAAATTATTTGCATGATTTCCTCTATGCTCTGCATTGGTTGATCAGGCTCCTCAAACTGGTTGTTCGTTGTACTAGGATCATCCATAAGATCAGCTGGAAGGTTTTTCAGAAACCATTCATGGTTTCTGATCTCAGGGATGCTTATCCTCTGTCATTAAGATGATATCAGTTCCCAATTAGAAGATTAACGCTTTTATCTCATGAACGACCGAGCTCTCCGATCCGGTTATTAAATCAGACGAGTACATAAACAAGAAGCACATTATCTTCTTTACTCATTTTTTATTTTAAAAATAGAGAAACTGACCTTTGCAGGGTCAGCAACAAAGATCCTTGAGATGAGATGTTGGCATTCAGGAGATATATGAACATAGTCGGGAATTGAGTATTGAACATTCAAAATCCTCTGCAACCAAGATTCAACAGTTGAGGAATATCATTATTATGCTCTTAAACAAATTACCAGATTAACTAAGAAAACGGATAATGGGTTACATGTATCGTCTTGCGGAAATTTTTTGGTTCCTCTGGGTCCTCAAAAGGATATGCACCCACCAACATGACATATAAAGTCACCCCACAGGACCATACATCTGCAATCTGTGTCAAATTTGAGAGATAATGTCAGCGTAAAATATCAACAAAACGAAAAAAAAACAACCCGCCATTAAAAGGCAAAAATAGGCATTCTAGCCTCAGTCAGAGATATGGGGAAAAAAAAAATCTAATTTATTTCATTGGCTCCCCTCGCATTTCCTCTCCAAACAACACATACAACGAAGTGACAAGAAAAAAGACCTCTTCTCCTCAGTTCTGCATAAGGTAACAACTTCATGAACAAAAACGTCATAACATGTGAAACAGGAAATTATATGAATTCCGCAAGATAAGAGGTTATTTTAGTTAAAACATACCTTGCCATCGTACTCCTTCTTAAGCAAAACTTCTGGAGCGATATAAGCTGGAGTACCAACTGTAGATTTTGGTTGTGAATGTAGCACAGAGGACTGCATGATCAAGATATGCGTATATCACAAGATAGAACCACAAAGACATCAAAACAGACGAAGTTGCTGGATCTTATACAAAAGCTATAAGAAAATAAATTTCCCAAAATGCATAAATTAACCTAATTATTTTGGCTGCATAAAAATTCTATCACTAAGAGGAGAAGATAAGGGTAATGACGATGGGTATAGATCAATCCTAAGACATCACATTCATCCCAATCAAGACTGAAGATGATGTTGGGCGAGTTATCAGTTCATCCACTTCTGCAACATTTATATGAGTTCCAGTAGGTGCAGTGTGTGTGTGTGTGTGGATATTATTGAACAAACGAGCTATATGATACCTTGGAGTACCCAAAATCACATATTTTCAAACGAGGAGCTGGGCTACCATCCAATAGAGTGTTCTCCAACTTCAAGTCCCGATGGCATACTTGCTTTATGGGCGAAAACATATAGAAAATTCAAGTCAGATATCCCACTATTTCTTCAAGTACTGAAGAAGTTATAATCGGACAAAGGGACCAAAATTTGTACCATTGCATGACAGTAGCTAACCCCCGATATTAGTTGTTGGAAAAAGAAACGAGCCTATAGCAGAAGACAATGAAAGATTAAATATGACTGTTGGGGCACAGAATTAATGTTGTAATGCCATAAATAAGAACCTCATCCTCACTGAACCGCCCAGCATTGCATATTCGTTCAAATAGCTCTCCTCCAGAAGCATACTCCATCACGATAGCCAGATGTGTTGGTGTCAATATGACCTATAGACAGTCACATGGTGATAAAGTAACTCAATGGGATACTTCAAATGCAGGAAAGGAAAAATGGTAAGATAAAGGAGCCGTACAAACCTCCTTGAACCTGACAATATTGGGGTGCCTAAGTGATCTGTGATTTATGATTTCCCTTTGCACATTTTCATCTATCTGTTAAGAAATAAACATGGTTAATCATGATAAAATCAGGCACAGAAATCTGAATGCCAAATTTTACTGAAATCCTACTAGTATTTCAAGTCCTTCAGCGAAAATGACCACCTCGTTTGGAACAAAAAAATATTGACCACCTTCAAATGGTCAGTGCGTAAAAATGGATTACTTAACCCTTTTAAAAAACGGCGAGTTAATCACCAAGATTGATTTCTTCAGGAGAAGGGGAAAAAAATCTGGGATAAACCTTCTCTACATATGAATATTTACCAACCCAGTCATGAATAAGCCTGCAAACATCACATTTGTAAGTAGGGCTCACATCAGACGACAGACGATACGGTTTTATGTCTATTTATAATTATAATCTATGGTTGATTTGATCAATCTGTTTCTGGAGTACCTAAAGCGTAGTGCACAATTTCACTATCACAACCTTTGTCCAAAATTTCACATTAAGAAGGTCATCGCATGTTTCCTGACATTTGTCCCTTTTTCCATTGGATTGCTAACCAAAAGTAGAAATAACGTATCACCGTTTACTAACTATAGTCAGTTTAGTTTACATAAAAGGCACAAGATAAATCTCGGAAAGTCTAAAGGCATAAAATTTACTAATCACTGAACATACGAGGATGGGAGAAAAAACGCACAGCTGTTGTACGCAACCAAACAAACTATAACATCCGACGGAAACAAGAATTCCATGTCAGGTAATTCTAAACGGAACCATTAGCCGGTCTTTAATTCCAGTTTAGGGAAAAATTAATCTTTTAATATCAATGTTTTATCAACTCTTATCCATTTGGTTTCCATAAAAGCATAATACACCTGACAGCATTAAAACATGAGACAAAAATTGGAACACCGACCTTATCTCCCCTCTCTATGTACTTCACAGCAACAAGCTCGTCTGTTTGCTTGTCCCTCATAAGCCTCGCGACCCCAAAATTTCCAGACCCAATATCACGCACGAGCTCGTAGCGGTCACTGTCGTGCAGAATCGGCATATCCATCCCCGGCCCAACTGTGATCGTCGACCGATCCATTCAAAACCTCAGTCGTCCAAACTCTCTCAGCTCATCATCTCAGGAGATAAAGAGAAAAACCTCTGTCAGATCGAACTCAGAGAGAAGGGGGTGCCTTTGACGTGGCTCGATTGGGACCAATCGATGTGGCGGTGGATGGTGGTGGTGGGTGAAGAAAGAGAAAAAAGATGGTCACAGCCCGTGAAGCTTCACCCACCAAGTCAGTATTTGAGATTTTGCTGAGCTTTTTATAAGTTGGAGATGGCGGTGAAGCAGATAATATGCTGCTCGTGAATGAAGGAAACCCCTTGCTTCAGTTTTCTTCCTTTCCTAGTCGAACTTGCCTTTTTGTTTTATCCAAACCCTGAGTTAGCAGATATTTTCATCTGGGGAAGCAGAGATCCTTTTTTTTTTTTTTTTAATTTCCAGTCTCAGAATCAGTGAAAGTTGATTGCGATGACAGAAATAACCTTGGCCCTTGTGGTTGGAAGAACAGAAAGCTCCCAGGTGGTTTCGTCTGGATGGTCAACTTCATGGCTCAAGACTCAAGTTTTGAACCAGTGAGAAACGATATTGTGTGGGAAAAAGGAAGAAAAAGCGAAAAGGCAAAATGACCTTTGTATGTTGATAAGGTGGTGAACAAACAGGCGGGTAACAATCATGTTTTCCTGGAAAAATCAAAAAAGAAAAAGAAAGAAAGTGCCGTGACTCTCAGAGCCTGGGAGACTATGTGCAAGTTGGGACGGCTACAATAATAGAGCAACGGAAGGCGCTCCTTAGCCCATAAGAAACTGAATATATATATGTGCGCGCGCGCGCGCAGGTATGCTGCGCCATACTTCCATTAATTGTTTGCAGTTAGTTGTCAAATAATTTTACTGACACACACAAAAATGTCACTGATACTACCTTTAGTTATTAATATAAAATACTGTTTCATTTTTATTTTAGTCATGAATATAACACTTTAATTCATTTTGTATTTTATATTTATATATTTTTTTTAATATGGTCATTCTAATAATGGTAATTTTAACCAATATACTTTATTATTAAGGATATTTTAAGAAAAACAACACTATTTATTACGACTAACTAACTAAACTTATTTTCTTAATCTCCTCAAATTACTCAACTAGTTCTTATAATGAAGACCAGAAGTACTAATTGAGATTGTTAAAATGACATTCTATTATATTTTTTGAATAAACGTGGAAAAAATTTATTTAAAGGGCCTGTTTTTTTATAAGCAGCATTTTATTTCAACTTGATAAAATAATATCTGACAACAAAGATCTGGGACTTAACTAACGCAGTGCTAACAAAAAAATAACCAAGAAAAGTTCGCCATGCAAAGTAAGAAAATCATACGGGTTCAACCATGCAGACATAAAGAGGACAACGTACAAAAGCCTTGATGCGTGACAATGTCTGTGGTAGTTGTGTTTCTATTGGGCCCTCTTCGTATGTTTTTCATTTTTGTGAAATTGAGAAATCTATACAGAATCAAGTGGGATTGTAAATAGATGCTTCAAAATTTAAACATCTAACCTCAACCACCGTCATTTGGTGACTGTGCTTGGGGTTAAACACTTAAAAGCTACATCATTAATTTAGTCTATTCATCTCTTACAATGTCATATTTATATCCATTTTTTAAGATATGATTATCTCTCAGCAAAAACTACAATAAATAATACTACTACAGTTCTAAATATAAGATCCATTTTATAGTGTAAATGATATTACAAAATAAGTCTTATGTGGGTCTTATATTTAGGATTAGATAAGTATTTTCTCCTGTTTTATTTATAAGTTTCAAGATTAATGAGAGGTGCAGTATATTTTTGAAGTTTTAAGCCTGTGCCAACCTTTAATACATCTTTTTTTTAACATTGTAGCTAATATTACGTGTTTGCATTTTCATGACTGAAGAAATTGTTTCCTAGTGGATGCCAAAGAAAGCCGAAAACATCTACGATAAATAATAATAATAATTCCCAACCAAATAACATCTCTGCATCAACTTAACCATAAATAATTTATTATTTATGGCCGAGAGTTTTTTTCTAGTGTCCATCTTATTTAGCCTTGTTTTGTTTTACTACCTCTAGTCCTTAATTAAGGTTGTCAAACTCACGAGTTTAAACAAATTCGTGATAATATTGTAAACTCGTAAGAATTTACTTTTATTAACAAACCAATATTAAAAGTATATAATCAAATAGTTAATATATAAAAAATGAGAACAATTTTATTTAAATATATTTTTTAAATTTAAATAATTGAAATTATATCTATCAATGTTCATAATTTATCATATTCAACAAAGAAATTTCTATAAAAATTATATATAAAGTCACTAAATATAATCAAATTAAAAAATTTAGCATGAGTTTAAGAACGAGTTGACACGATTTTTTAAATTAAAAACATAAAAACAATAAACTCAGTAAATGAACTCGTAAGTTTAATCGAGTTTATAGTTATCACAAGTTTAAGAATGAGTCGACATGATTTTGTTAGCAGAAAACATAAAAACGTTAAACTCAGAGAGTCAACTCGCGAGCTTGACAACCGTGTCCTTAATATAAGAGCTTGTTTGACTTTCAGTTTGATCCTAAATATAATACTCCAATGCATCTTGTCTTTCATATTTATCTTTTTTTTTTTAAAAGCAGTCCTTATAGGTTGCATATGTTAAATGTTTCATCAAACGATAATTCTAACTAATACACATTATTAGTACGAGTATTCTAAGAAAGATAATACTCTTCCAGTCCTTAATATAAGACCCATTTAACTAATTTGATTAGATTAAGGAAGTTAGCTAAGTTAGTTAATTATAAAGAATGTGACATATTTTTCCTCAAACACCATAATCATCTTCCTTAATACTCCATCTCCCTCTTCTACTTGATTATGAGTGAAGGAGTATCCATAGGAATAATTTAGAGAAAATTAATAAATATGAGAAATGAGTCTTATATTTAGGACAAAAACCAGCTCAACAATTGGGTTCTATATTAAGAATCGGAGGAGTAATTATTTATTACAAATACTAAATTAACTAAAAATTTTAATCTCTCCAAATTAATCAACTAAGTTTTATATTAAGAACTGGAGGTAGCATATCTATTAATGTATTGCCATGGACCACAAACGCTTTAGTTACATAATTTTTAAATATTGAAAGATAACGTTCGCTCAATTAAATCACAATAAAAACCAAATGGAAATGTCTTCAAAAGGACAAGGACACTGCTTTTCTCTGGGGAAGAAAAAGTTATCTGGACCACATACCAACCGATCATTTATGGACTTCTTTCTTGTTGGGTTTGCAAGTGAATGAAGAAAGGTCCAAATTACCCTATTCTGGGCCTACTTCTTTAGGCTCAGCAGGAGTTTTCATTGTGGCCTAATTAACTGGGCCCAAGACCAATAACGATTCCCACCGGAGATAACTTGATGAAGTCATCGTATAATCTTATATAACTCGGTCAGAATCATTGTCGCTTGTTGCGCCGGAGCGTGACCCCCAAACCTCAAAGACTAGCGCCGAAGCCCAGAAAGAGACATGCTCTTGCAGAGCCTAGCTCAGCAGCTTCCACTTTCACCCTTCACTCGCTCCTTCTCCTTCGTCTCCAATCTTCCCTCTGAACCTAATCCTAATTTCAATCTCTTCTTCATGCGCGCTTCTCCTGGCTCTGCATTCGCCCTCTTTCGCGCCATCTCCTGCAGCCGCCATGGCCACCTCCGCCCCCACCGCCGCCTCCTCACACCTTCCTCGACTCTCTGCCCTCATTCGCTCATCAAATTCCGTCGCTCTTCCTCGCTGCCCGCGTCCAGCGTGGAGCAGTTGGTGAACGAATCGACTCCGTCTACTTCTGAGCAAGAACCCTGGGATCTTTCTACTTTGAGAGAAACTGAAGCTTTCGATTTCGACAAGTGTTCTGCAGCAACAGACTTGAAACACCTATCGACCCCCGACCTGGAGGTGAAGGACTTGAGCGAGCTACCGGAGCAGTGGCGGAGAGCCAGGCTGGCGTGGTTGTGTAAGGAATTGCCAGCGCACAAGGCAGGGACTTTGGTTCGAATACTGAATGGGCAAAAGAAATGGATGAGGCAGGATGATGCTACTTATGTTGTGGTGCATTGCATGCGGATTCGCGAGAATGAGACTGGGTTTAGGGTAAGCCCACCTCTTCACCGTTTTGGCTTAAGCATTTGATTGTATTTCCTCCAAAAAAAAAAAAAAAACCAGAAAAAAGAAAAAGAAAAAGAATTGGATTACAAAGCAGCAGAACGACTAGTAAAATGCTTACGGTGTCTTTTAGGATTGATACTTGATATCCCTAAATTTTATAGTTGATGGAAGGATGACAAGATGCTATTTTATTGTCTTATTTTTGTCACTACAGTAAATATCGGATGGAATGCATACTATTTCATCTGGGAATGATGGTTGTTGGAACTGTAATAAAATGCTAATCCATTCCTTCTTTGTGTGGTCATAGTAAGTGTTGGGTTCTAAATGTTATAAAGCTTCCCTTTTGCTACAATAGACAACCGCAGTTCATCTTGGAATTCATTTCTCTGTAACTTTACCATCAGAGCTAAATTTCCCGGGACGTGTGCTGCTTATTCTATATTTTTTTCAAGGCCTTTTTTTCCCCTGGCTACCATTATTCCCCTATTTGGTTATTTAGGAGACAATTCTATGCATTTTACTGCAAGCTAGAATTTGTTTACGCTAGACAGTCACGCTTTTCTTTTTCTCTCTTTTTGTCTTTTTTAAAGGTATACAAATGGATGATGCAACAAAATTGGTATAGATTTGATTTCGCTCTTGCTACGAAGCTGGCAGATTACATGGGTAAGGAGCGGAAGTTTGCAAAGTGTCGTGAGATATTTGATGACATAATTAATCAAGGCCGTGTCCCAAGTGAATCAACTTTTCATATATTGATTGTTGCTTATCTTAGCGCACCTGTTCAGGGTTGTCTGGAGGAGGCATGCACCATCTACAATCAAATGATTCAGTTAGGAGGTTACCAGCCACGCCTGAGCTTGCATAACTCCCTCTTCAAGGCTCTTGTTAGCAAATCAGGGGTCTCATCAAAGCATTATCTTAAACAAGCGGAATTTATATATCATAATTTGGTTACAACTGGTCTTGACATACATAAAGATATTTATGGTGGCCTAATTTGGCTACATAGCTATCAGGATACCATAGATAAAGAAAGAATAACAGCATTGAGGGAAGAGATGCTACAGGCTGGAATTGATGAGGGTAGAGAAGTGCTTCTATCTGTATTGAGGGCTTGTGCAAGGGAGGGGGAGGTGGAGGAAGCAGAAAAGGCTTGGCTTAGACTTATCCAGTCTGAAAGTGATCCCCCCTCACTAGCTTTCGTGCACTTGATGGAGGTCTACTCTAAGGTTGGGAAACCTGTGAAGTCTTTAGAGATATTCAGGAAGATGCAGGAGCAACTAAGGGACACAAGTGCGGCAGCATATAATAAGATAATAGAGATACTATGCAAATCGTATGAAACTGAACAAGCAGAATCAATAATGGCAGATTTCTTATGGAGTGGTCTGAAGCCCCTCACGCCATCATATGTCAATTTATTGAACATGTATTTCAAATTGAACTTACATGATAAGGTGGAGCTGGTATTTTATCAGTGCCTAGAGAAATGCCGTCCTAATCTTGCCATTTACAGTATATACTTGGATTCTTTGGTGAAAGTCGGTAATCTTGACAAGGCTGAGGATATCTTTAACCAAATGATTAGTGATATTGCTATTGGTGTCAATGCTCGATCATGCAACATCATTTTGAGTGGTTACCTGTCTTCTGGAAATCATGTAAAAGCTGAGAAAATATATGATTTGATGTGCCAGAAAAAGTATGATATTGAAACCTCATCGATGGAAAAGCTTGAACATATTCTGAGCTTGAGCAGGAAAATTGTCAAAAAACCTACAAGCCTGAGGCTAAGCAAGGAGCAGAGAGAAATATTAATTGGGTTACTTTTAGGTGGCTTAGAGATTGATTCAGATGAACAAAGGAAGAATCACATTGTCCATTTTAATTTCGATGGTATTTCTGGTTGCCACCATCTCTTGAAGAGTCATATACATGGCCAGTTCCATGAGTGGTTGCATCCTTCCTCTAAGCCAAGTGATGATACTGAAAATATACCAGATAGGTTTTTTACAATTCCAAGCTCTTATTTTGGCTTCTATGTGGATCAGTTTTGGTCACAAGGTCAACCTTCGATTCCAAAACTAATCCATAGGTGGCTGTCACCATGTGTTCTGGCATACTGGTACATGTACGGGGGCCATCGAAGGTCATCAGGAGATATTCTTCTAAAGATAAGAGGAAGCCGCGAGGGTGTTGAGAAGATAGTCAATAAGCTTAAAGACATGTCCATAGATTGCAAAGTAAAGAGAAAAGGCAGGACATTTTGGATTGGTATTCTGGGAAGCAACGCTACATGGTTTTGGAAACTGGTAGAACCTTATATTTTAGAGGACATAAAAGATTTTCTTAAAGCAGGCGATCAGACGTTGGGGAGTAATTCTGCAGAAACTCAGAACATTAGCTTTAGTAGTGACTCGGACGCTGATGAAACAGGATGAAGCAAAACTGATGATTTTGCTTTGGACGAAGTTAATTTTTGAGGAGCGACCCGTTCAGATCATGGTTTATCTCTTGCAACAAAAACATAGTTGATTTTTCTCCATCTTCAGATATTATTTTGATTGACTGCCATGGTAGCTAAGTGAAGGGTTCCTTGAAAATTTATGTTACCGCATGGTAGATTATCTTTTATGCATGTACATTGCTGTATAGAAATTTGAGAGGGACTACATTATCTGATTAATCTCTGTAAAGGAATTAGAAGTACTGTCTGGTTATTATTCTTTGCTGTGGTATGGCCTCCACGGTTCATGGTTCTGTAAAGGACTTATCCTTTAATGGGAAGCGTGAAGTTCTTTCTTCTTTGTTTTTGCACCAATAGTAACACAAACAATCTGAAATATGAGCTAACAAATTTCCTGTCAAGTCATATACATTGCAGACAAAATCATGTATATAAGAGTTATCGTAATGCAATCATCTTTGCAGTGATGATGATACTTTTGCAAGTTCTCGTCATAAAATGGCATCTAAGTGTATAGAAAGATGTGTCATTTGATTCCTTATCGAGAGATTGTAAGGACTAAGGGAGTGCGAATGTCCTGGCTCCCTTGAAGAATATGGAATGCTCAATTAAATCAGCAGTTTCTAAATTTTACTGAGATTGGTACGTGTAATAATTAGACTGGGTCTTCATATTTCAAAAGTTACTATGGTCGCCCAGGGGAATTTTACACCACCAATTTAACGAGCCACCTCTAACCTTGAAGACCCAAGACATGCTGGAAAATACACCGACACTCTACCTCCGGCCTTCAATCTAAGATAAATAACTAATTTATAAATATTAAAAAAATTAATCAAATTAATTATTTGTAACAGAAGGATTTTTTTTTTAAATACCATTGTGCATTAGAATTATTTATTAATGAAAACACTTTATATAGTTATCATAAGAATTCCATGGGGGCAAAATAAATATATACTAATACAAAACAGATTAGGACTTTATATTTAAGATTAACTTAAATATCTAATTAGATATTATACTAAGGACTGGAGATAATATATTATAGAAATTATATAGATTTACCCCCACGATTCTGCGACATTCTAACCACACGAATCTGATGGGGTACAACTGTAGGAACACAAAGGTGAGTATGGTTAGCATTGGAAATTATACTGGAAGCCATCTTTTACCAACTCCTACTCTGCACTTAACAATAATCTTCCTAGGCCTTGTCTTAGTACAGGAGAAGTGCAGCACATGAAGTCAAAACATCAATTGAGTGAATTACGCCTTTGCGAACAAGTGCCCGCAAAGCTGATGAGACTCCTTTAACTATAATATCTTTATGTTCGACATCATAATTGTCTACAAGGAGTAACAAAAATTCAAGAAGACTGTGAGTCATGTCAATGTATTTGGGAATAGAGTGCACCATCAACAACATCGCAGGTTCTATGTTCATGATGTTATCCCCATTTTCATCGAAGAAGAGCCAATCATAGAACAAGGCTAGTTTCACATTGGCTGCAACATAGTTTTTCCTACAAGATTTTAGAAGCCAACCAATAACAGCCCATCTTGGGACAATATCTGACTGAATTATCTCGTTTGGTGGATGGTGTGCACAACATATAAATCGAACTAAATCAGCCATCAGAGTATCTCTATCAGGCTCACTAAGAAACTTCCTCGCAAACCACATCTGGTGGCGCTTTTGTTGTCCCAATTTCACGTGTGTCAGCAAAAACCGTAAATGGGACTCCATTTCAGGAGTAATCCGAAGTAGAAAATACCTACTCGATGTCCTTGTGCAGTAAAGCTGTGAAATATCCGTAAATTCTGGCGTCCTGAACCGAGACGGATTCATCACCAAATCCTTCCATATGGCTCTGAACTCATGAACATGAAACAAATTTTGTAGTAACCAGACGAGATCCCTCCCAATCTTTAAACATAAATGGAATTCTTCCCTCACTATTTTGGCACATAAATCAATCTCTAATCGCTTTAAAGTCCCTAACTTCTCATTATATGGAGACCTGCAATGATCAGCTAATAGACGAAGATACACATACAATGCACTTGACAAAACCATCGGTTCTTCTTCTAATATGCAATTCCACTTATCTTGAAATAAGCTGGCTAACTCAAAACACAACCACAAATTGCCATCACTAAAATCTCCCTCAACAATTTGCCTCAAAAGGGACACCAACAAACCATCAAAACCTACTGCCAACACATCAACCATTTCTTTGGTAACCCAAATCAACTGATTTTTCACTGACACAAGAAGCTTTGGGTACAACTGGTGAACAATTTTCACAAGCAAGTCAACAAAAAACGCGTATCCATCAGTAACAATAGCATGCAAGTGCTTGATATGGGTTTTGGCGAAACGGGGCTCACACAAAACACCGTAAAGGATTGCCCTATTAAGCTCCAGGTACTCATCGAGACTTGGGATTGTTAAGGAGAATGGAGGCCTTAATTTTGGTTCACAATACTCAAACGCTTGCCTAAGAGAAAGCTCAATTTGATTTTCGGCTTCATGAGATGCCCCGAGGGTGAACCTTGAAACCATAACAGATTCCTTTGGGTCAGAAAATAGATTTCCCAAAACAATTACAGGTTTGCAATTTCATATTCTATTCAGAATCACATATCAGAAGGCAACATCGAAACAGAATGACGAAGCGGAAACAGAACGGAGCCTACATCGCTTAACCGGAGCTTCGGAACAGAACAAGAGAACAAATGAAAGAGGAACGAAGGAAGAAGCAAACTCTGAAGCAAAAGGAAGGGATGCGCAAACGAGGGCACAGCGCAGGCTAACAAGGGTGACGAAAACGGACGCAAACGAAGAAGCGTGGATCAGCGTGTCACGGGTGACCAAAAAGGGGTGAACGCAAGTGTTCTAATGGGTCTGGACTTGGGCCTCGTCACAATGCATTGGTCTGAAAATTTTGGAGGTGTGCAGAAAGGGAGTGAGGCTAAGTACAAACAAAAATTGAAAATTGAACAAAATCTATGTATATCAACATTCGTACCTAAATTTATATCTTTATATCTATTAATTTTCTCTAAATGTTTTAATGAACTCCAATTAATTACTCTGCATAAGTTAGGAAAGTAAAAATGAGTTATTTTTTTATTTATTTATTGTTTTGTGTGTAGGGTTTACTTATATTTTTCCCCACCAGGTTCAAGTTGTGGGCCGGGTTCAAAACAAAAGAGAGCCTTATCGGGAAAAGCTCGGTTTGGTTTTGTGCCTATAGTTGTAGCAGGTTCGTTGGAGATTATCAACCAAGAAACAGATAGATTGATCACATTCTTTTGTACGGTTCAGTTCGTAGAGCAGACCTTTCAATTTATCATTTTTTCCAGAAAGAGGCAGTGTCATTGATCACCAGAGTAAATATCATGGAGAAGTTGATGCTGTGGAGTTTGTAAGGTGGAGATAAAAGGCAATGCTTTTTGGGCGACAGTGGCCTGAGGAACCTTAGCTAACATGTGCCTGGAACCCTGCTTTTTGAGGTCTCACGTTTTTCTTTTCGGCTGAAAGTTATAAGAACAAGGCAGGCTGGGTCAGTGCATCAACAATATATCTGGAGGAGTTTAATTTTTTATTATATATCCGTGAGTCATCCCGGGACAAGCGTTTTTTGCATCATCGTACGGAGCTTTTTGTCGTCGTGGGGGTTGTCCTCGCAAAAAAGCAACCTTGACACAATGGCCGTAGACGTTGAGCCCACTAAAATTATCATGAGATCACAAATAAAACGAGGTAATCTCCTCCACATATTTATTTCGTAATCCGTAAAAGTACTTCTAAAACCATAGTTTGGTTTTTATCCAAATATCCCTTAAGAAATTTAATTATCAAAAAGTGACAAGTTATGTATCTGAATCTATTGTCGTCTCCTGCTCCAGAATTTTAATTAGCAGGAAGTTTTAAGTAAAAAAAATTAATTACTAAAAAATGCAAATGATAAGTGATCAGTCTGAATTTGTTGTCTCATTTCCTATTTTAGAAATTATCATTATTTATTCTTCACTTATCAATAGATTTTAAGATAACTAAATATCTTTTTTAAGACTCGATTGTAATTTTTTCTTAAACTGATCGGAGCTTGGGTGCTAGTTTATATTATGTCCTCGCAAAAAAGCACCCTCGTGACACGGCAACACATTTTGTCAAAAAATAATTATTATTATATATCAGACGCGGCGGAATTTGGAGCACACGAGAATGTGTGTACCTGAGTCCTTCCCCCACTAATGATTTTTCCTTTTAAAAAATCAACATGTGAGCTATTGTCTTCCCACGATAAAACCACATGCCTATTGCTTCCAAATAATTTCTCTCTCTTTGTCTTCACCACGCTCTTCTTGGTTTTATTTTTTGATTAAACCTCCCAATTATCAAATTCTTCGCAATGTTGTCTCTCTATTTTATCTTTTAATTTTATTGTTATTCTAAATCTAAATTTAACATTGTGCTCAGTTATCTTGATTTGTATATTCAGCACCGTTATATAACTTCTGATTTGCTCTAGATTTTTAATGGTGATGACCCATTTAATCTAGCTATTGGCAGGCTCAATTAAAGGTGACAATCTGTGATTCGTCAAATTTAAAGAATGCTCATGTATTGGGCATTAAAGTACAACTTTCATTCACGATTTTTTAGAAACAGTTACCAAATTAATTGAGAGATTCATTTCCTAGATCCTCCTTTGAGATTTCCCCCATTTTTGAAAATTTAAAACAGGAATGAAAATTTTACTCCGTCGATTGAATTATTTGAAAAATTTTATTCAATAAGCTACATTATTACTGAAAAAAATAAATTAAAAAATATAAAATTCTATAAAGATCCAAGCATTCAAATGGTTGGCCTTTTATGACAAACGCATGCACCTTGCAAATGATCCGACTGTTTGTGCGTAAATGGAGATTGCGTAGGCTATAATGCTTCCTATTTTGTCCATATATGCAAATAGGAATCCTAGAACACTCTTCTTATCCTAATTATATCTAATGTGTTAAAACCTTTTATTGTTAGATATTTTCATGTTAGTAAAATATTTCTAAATTTTTAATAACCTACTCTTGTAGTGATTTCCATAAATTATATATTCATCAAATTTCAATTAAGTAATTAAAATAAAAACATAAGAACCTGTTCACAAAAAAAAAAACAATCTTTAAATTTATACTACAAATTAAAGGCCATTGAAATGGACAAGAAAATTCTCGAACACTCTTCCCAAGCTAGCTATAATGCCAATTCCTGAACTGGAAAGTGGGGCTTTTTCTCTCTTTTGCTCCAACATGTGAGTGATTCATTCTTGCATGAATAAGGAACCTTATCATTATACTGTAGGTCTCGCGCATGAAAATAAAAGCTACATGCAATATCTTTAAGTTCTCTTTTCCTATCCAGATCAAAACTTCTCGCTCACTACTATTTTCCCTTTATTTTTTGCCCACAAATTAAACTCTAACCTTCACTTAAATCAATACCTTTAAACTAAATAATCTCAATTATCCAGAGTCTTTTTTATACTTTGATGTTACAATTAAAAGAAAGCCTTTGAACATCAGTTTGAATCCCTTTTCAATAGTTTAGTTGCTTCTCTTTTTATACATTGTCATCACTTGTACTTGTATCAGTACATTTTGTTTTTCATAAAAGTGATGGACATCTTTATTAGTGCATGAGAGGACCCTTTTAATTACTTTCAGTTTTTTACTTTCAGGTTTGAAAAAGATCTAAGCTTGGAGGAAAGAAAGTAGGATTAAGCATCACAGTCGAAGAGTTGAAAATTGTTGAGATGCTAGAAAAAGAAGAAAGGGGGGGAAATGATGATGTATTGGTGCTAGTGTGACACGGGAGATTAAGTGGATTTATTACAAGAACTCTAATCATAAACCCCACAAAACAAAAACAGATAATACAGACAGAGACATCAATCCCAAAAAGCCACCAATGGCCTCATAATTTAGTGATGAACTATTTAGCTATATTATGGTTCATTATTAAAGGCTATGTGTGTATGCATATTCACCCAGATAGCCAAAATAAATAAATAAATTTCTTTTAGGCATATAGTGTGTCAAAACAAGATATATGAATAAACTGCGATAAAGTTCAGTTGAAGTTTGATTGAGGAATATTTTTATGCGTCATATTTTTATTAATAGATGTTTAAGTTTCTAAAGAGAAGTTAAGTTACGTTGGCCAGAGAAGAAGGAGAAGAAGAAGAAATTATGTTACATTCCAGGTCGCTTTTTTTTGTTGTTGTTGGTATGTCATGTATCCCGTGTTTTTACCTTTGACATATATATTGTGAAAGTTCTTATTTAGTTTATACGATGATATAAAAAATAACTTGATATTAAGTTAAAATGAATCCGTAGTTTGTTTTACACAGGAAATAAATTTCATTATAAAAGATAAAAGATGAGAACAGAGTTAGAAGATCTGAATAATATGTTGGAAATTAAATAATATTGGAGAATTGTGGTTTTATTTTTTTACTGAACAAATATATATATATATATGGCGTGTTATACAGGAGATTGGAGACAATAATAATAGATGCCTTGGCAAGAGATGTGACAGAAACAGCAATGAATGAAATGAACATCGATCACGTGAAAGATTCTCTTCAATATGGTTGCTGCTTTTGAATGCCAACGAAGAATTTGGCCCCTGCCTTCTTCCTTTCTCCTCCTTCTTCTCCTGAAAGAAAGCTATCGCATAAGGTATCCCTGGATTCTCTCTCTCTCTCTCTCTCTCTCTCTCTCTGAGTTTCACCAACTTGTTGTTGAAAGTGAAAGGAAACACGCCTGTTCATGGAACCTGCAGGCGCAAACTTTCAGTACGACGATATCTTAGAATCTTATTTTCAACGTGGCAACAAATAATACTTATTATTTGGGAGAGTCAGAATAATATATAATCAGCGATGCGAACCTGTTGATATAATTTACTGCTCTCTTAGTTAATGGGCATCCTTTGTGATTCTGAGGTCTAAATTCTTTATATCAGTATGTGAGACTCTCTGAGACAAGATACAATGGGATGATAATAACGTGGTGACCAGAATTGACAATACATGTGTAGATTGGAAATTAAAGTAAGGGGATAAGTCTGAGAGGGGTGGGTGTGGGTGGATGGGTGGGTGGGTGAGTCCTGAGTGGGAGAGAGATACGATATCATGGAATGTGTTGGATTCGGCTTTGGAAGGAAGGGATTGGCTTGTGTATGTTGACATGAGATTATCCCAACTAGCCAAGCCTCCACACACATTCGTTATTTAAACCATAGTACCATCTCTTGTAGTTGGTACGTCATCTTCTTGACCTGCCTGATTTTCCTAAAACACTCATGTATAATACGTTAAAATATATATTTAGTCGTTTAATTTTATATAAGGTTTTAATTTTGTTCGTTAACTATAAAAAGTATATTTTTAATCTTTTAATTCTAAAATTATCGACAAAAAAATTATTGATAATAAGATGTTGAATGTTAATAAGATATTCTTAAATACTAATACATTAAGTTTAGTTTTCAAAACAATTATTATTGTTACAAAAAAAAAGTCATTTAAGACCAATAATTTTAATATTAAAGAACTAAAAATAAATTTTTTAAAAGTTAAAAGACCAAATCAAAATTTTATGTAAATTTAGTTAAATTAATTATAAAATAAATTATAAATATAAAAAATATGATGAATTAAGATCTTATACATTAAATATAAACTTTCAACTAATTATCAATCTCATATATACACACATATATACCAGTCTCTCATTCTATTGACCTTGTGAGGCTGAAGAGATGAAGATTACAGGGATGTTTAAACAAAAACTAAACTATAATTTTAAAAGTGATTTTATAATATACAAAATAAATATATATAGATATTTGCTTCGATTCGTAAAATTTTTTTTTTTTAAAAATCATTTTGGATATCCAAACACTTTTTATATATTATTCTATGTCGCCCACAATTGATTTTGTTTGAAAAAGAGCCAATTAAAAAAAAAAGTCTTTGTTGTGACTTTGAAACATGCTCTCTCGGACCCCGTCACCTGCCTTCCCTTCCATCCCATCATTACTTCCATCGCAAGCCGCTTCCCCCAGAATCTTATGCCCTTTGACTGCTTTCCTCTCCCCATCTACTCCCCACATAATCCCAACCCTATTTTCACGGCACACAAAAAAGACTTTGACTGGATTGCCCTTTTTTTTTTTGAGCACATCAAGTCCATGTGGTGCCTCATGGTTCCAACACTTAAAAGATTATCCTCTAATGTCTAATGCAATAGCATTATAAAAATGTTTTGCGGTGAGAAATATGCAATTTAAGTATTTTTTTTTAGGGAATAAAAATAGTTTAATGTAATAGATGAAGTGAATAGTGCGAGGGCATTCTGGGAAATGGTGGGGGCAGTTGTGGGGATGGATTCTTTGATTGGAAGCATCCGACAATTCCAGTGGTGATGCGGGAACCGGGGGCGACCTATTTAAAAATAAATAAACTGAATAATGAATAGTATTGAATTTATTTGATTTAAATAATAAAAGCTCATGAATCTCAATAATAAGCAGCTATATTAAATAAAAAGGAGGGCAAATGGTGGAGCGAGAGATTCTCAACTCGGTGAAGGAGAAATGGAATCTAACGGTTGTAAAAGCTTGTCCTTTTCCGTTCAGGAATAACTCATCCAATTTTTTCAAAAAAGTATTTTAAAAAGAAAATAGAAAAAGCATCTGTTGACGGTGTAATGTTCGAGATGTAAATCCGAGGCAAAATCAAACCTGGGTCCCACTTGACATTAAGATTCCTTATCTCTACAGCTCTGACACGAAGTTGAGTTGAGCATCATCAAATCAAACCAAGTTTCTTGAGGGTGGTTTCACCACGCGCACTCTTGTACGTGTACGCCACCCACCAATAATGTCTTGCCCGGTGTGCCCTCTCCCGTGATAGATTCCCCTGCTTTTCAATTTTCCTTTTTTTTGTCGAAAAAAGAAATTAAGCCGATCCGATAATCAGTACACATTGTACAGAACAAGATTCTATCTACAGTTGAATAATACTGCGCCTTTTCCTTTGGACCCGGTCGAATAGTAAATTGAGAATAATATGCTTAAACATTCATGGGACCATTTTTTCAATTAAAAAATACTCCTCTCATAATTTACACTACAAAAATATTTTAAAAGATAAAAAAATTAAATTATCAAACTTGAACTTAAATTCAAAAGTTATGGACAATTTCTTATTGAATTGATATTATTATAAGTAAATGATTACAAAATTGTGTATATCCTGGCTAGCAGTATATGGTACTAATAATGATCAATTAATTAATTATACATAATAATGCCCAACATGTAACGTGGAGGGTGAACTTTTCTCTTACTCTGTTGACGGAAAGTTTGAGAAAGGGCATTTTATTAGTTATTATGGGAAAAAAGAGGCAATGTCATTCTTTCCCTCAAAAACATGTTACATGTTGAATGTATAAAATACAAATAAATCAATAAAGTAACGGGAAAAGCAGGGGGGAAATATATAATAATACACGTGGTGGAATCTCAATGAACCTATATTCTCCCTTGGTGGCCTTGTTGGCTCCAAAAGCATATGATTCTTGACTTATCAAAACAGGAATACAATGTAGTTTAGAATATTTAATTAGAGTAATAACTTTGAGCTCCAAACAAAAAAAATAGAGTAATAACTTTTCCTCCTCTGACTCATGATAACATAAAATAATATTATAGTACCTTTGAATATCAACCACTCCTTTGTCACATCTCATACTTCACTTTTAAGATAAATTATTTGTCCGGTTCTATATAAAGTTTTTATATTTAGAACTGAAAGAGTATATTTTTATTTTTTTAGATAACTCTATGTGAAATTTATTGTATTTGTGAATTAGCCAGAATCTAATATAACTTTTAGATCATCAGTGGTTTGATAACGGAGAAAATATCTGCGCAGCAAGATTTAAGCGAAAATTTTAAAACATTTACTGTAATGTTAATTTCTTAACAAATTATGCATAACTTATTTTTGTAAATAAGTTCTCATATACTACTGCAATTATAACTTAATTGAAATTCTAATAATAAATCACCAATAGCTTCAACTATTTTTCCCTATTCACACCTCATCGCATCTCTTTTCTTCCTTTCTGGCGAGGGTTATTTGTGTGATTCCAATTTTTTGTTTCATGAAAACACAAATTTTGAATTTTTATATGCACAAATTTCCCTTTTAATTTTGAATCATATGCAAGTATTTTCTGAACTTAGAAAACAAGATAAGTACTGTTGTTAAGACTTAAATTTTTTTCTGATGTCATCTCAGATTATTTTATTAGTGTCATTATTATTTTTTTTAACCTACATCAAATATTACTACAGTCCAATATGATCCTAACTACTTTGAAGATTCCATATTCCAATCCTTTTCTTTGTCACTTGAAAGTTTTAAGCTGTTGAAAATTGATTCAGTTGGCAAGAATGTAACTCATATAACCTAAAAAAGTGTTATTTTAAATTCCATTCCTAATTAAAGTGAAAATATTATTGGTGGAAATATTCCTATAGACAGCTTTTTTTAAAAAAATTTTTTTTTGCCAACTCCTATAGACAGTTTTTAACCAAGAAATATGCATTGGTGCTAATGAATCCCTGAAATTAATTCCCTACACTGCATTAATTGAGACATGAACTACAAATGATAATACAACAACAGTATTTTTTTTTAATTATTATTGTTTATTACTTGACCTGATTATTTTCCCATTAATATTGTACTAATCTTGATGGGAAAAAATGTACTAATCCGGGTTTGATATATAATTATCTGGTCATAAATGAAAGACAGCATCGTGGCCTTCGCGTTTTTAAAAAAAATGTCAATATCTCATACAACTTTGTCATAACTCACAAGTCTAATCAATGAGTTGGCCCAAAAAAAAAAAGAAGAATTATAACAGTACATTCAAAAAGTAAATATGTTATTTAAAATTATGTACAATGTAAGTTTGTATTTAATGATGGAGTTTGAAGTGAGTCACATTATTCTCAATTTATGAATACACAACATGACTAATTTTATACTGACGTTATATATAAAATAGATATAGAAATATAGATTAGGTCAGGTGGGGACTTGGGCATTATTCATAATTTATAAACACTCCAAGGGTTTGGAGTGAACTTTATGTGAGATATTATAGTTGATATATACTGATTTTGCTTGGCAAATAAAAAAAAAGAGATACTGGGAGCAGCATATTGATTTTGTTGGGGGAGAGGAGATTTTGGACATTTCAGAAGAGGAAAGGGGGGCGAACCGGTTGAGCGGGTTAAGTGTGAGAGAGGGAGGAGTTAAGTTTTAAATACGCGACGACCCGAAGGTGACTTTGAAAAAACCAAACCCCGTCTAAACTCGGCGATGCTCTGCTCTCAGCACTCCTCGCTTCCGCAGAATCTTCGCCTTTATTCAAACGTCCTTTCTACTCCTCACATTCGTTGAATCCTTTTTTTTTAATATTTAAAATTCCTTTTATTTTCCCTTTCTTTCTTTCTTTCTTCGCAAACAAACAATTCAATCCCACCCTCTCTCTCCTCCTTTATTCCTTTCTCTACCTATAAATTCCTTATTTCTATTTGCGCCTCTTCACTATTTTCGTCTCCTTGTTTGATAGAATCTCCTGGAAGCTCAGGGAGATCTGAATTTTAGGGATAGGATCTATAATGGGCTCGCTTCCTCCACCACAGCTGAGCTTGGATTTGAGACCCACTTTTGTTCCCAAGACGATCACTGATTTCCTCTACGAAGTTTCCACGATCGCCCATGCCTCCGATAAGCTCTCCAGGCTCGATGATTTCGTCAACAGATTGGAAGAGGAAATGAGGAAGATTGACGCCTTTAGGCGTGAGCTTCCTCTCTGTATGCTCCTCTTGAATGATGGTTGGTTTCCTACCCTGTAATGAAATCTTTCGTCTGAATGAAGACGTTTCTGGTTCTAGGCTTATGACCTTCTGGCTGTTTGGTGATGGGTTTTGATATTATAATTCTGTTCTCATGGCTTTGTCTGCTTAGTCCTTTTTTGGATTTGTTTATGAAGTGAAAGAGCCTCAGCTTATACACTTGAATTTTACTTGTTGACATTTTTTATCCACGGACTAATCAATGCGTTGCGTTTTTGTCTGTGAATCTCTGTAGCAATTTTAGTTCTGAAGGAGGAATCGGCAAAATTCAGGATACCTGATTCTCAGCCAGTATTGGAAGAATTTATTCCCTTGAGGAAACAGTGTGATCAGAAGGAGGAAGATGAAACAGAAAAGGAATGCCGAGACAAGAAGAACTGGATGAGTTCTGTACAACTGTGGAACACTGATAGTTACCCCACCTGTGAACAAAAAGAACGTTATAAATTAGAAAACAAGGTATAATAGCCTACGGAATTGCATTTATGGTTCTCGCATAATAAAATATCCTGTGAATTTACCATTCAGAGATGAGCTAACCTAATTTTCTATCTGGTGCTAGCAGAAAAATGAAGAACCCACTGTGGCAGAGGATCCTTTGAAATCTTGTAGAAATAGAATTGGAAGGAGGGTTTTTATGCCTTTTGCATCATACAGTCCAGTTCATGTGACAACTGTGGCAACCAAGGAAGAAATGGAAGAGTCTGATATTAATGGACTTTCTCTTGTCACTCCTGGAGTTAAAAATCTGAGGGAGGGGTCTGTTTCTAGCGGATCAAGAATATCGTCTGGCAGGGCGGTTTCATCGCCTCCTTGCAGTGACCAACCAAGTTTACGCACTGGACAGCATCAGACTGCTCGGAAACAAAGAAGGTGTTGGTCACCAGAGCTGCACCGTCGATTTGTCAATGCCCTGCAGCAACTTGGAGGTTCTCAAGGTTAGAAAAAGAAACTTGGATCCCTTCTCATGTAAATTTGATCAATTACCACTGTTCTACTGATCTTCTGTTGCTGAAAGCGTCAAGGCGGATACCTTCTTGAAACTGCAATATGCAATTTGTTTACGATTCTTAATTTGGGACTATACAACTCGCCCAATTTCCATTTCACTGACTGGGAAATTAAGAACTATCAAATGAAGTGCCAAAACTTCCAACCAGTCTAAAAAGGTTCAGGGATTAGATCGTGATGGGTATGAAATTATGTAGTGCTTGTTTTATCTAATTCTTAGGACAGTTGTGAGTTGTGACTTGGATACTGTTGTGATTAGGCAAGATAAAAATAGGAAATGTTTGGATTGCATATTATCTCCCAATTGAAAGGTCTTCTACTCCCTAGTCCCCACTGATACTTGCTAAGAAACAATTTCTCCCCGCAGCTTAAGTTACTTCCTTTGTTCTTAGTTTCTTGTATCTAATTGACATGTCTGGGTTCTTCTTGCAGCTGCCACTCCAAAGCAAATTAGAGAACTCATGCAAGTTGATGGCCTGACCAACGATGAAGTGAAGAGCCATTTACAAGTGCGTTGTTGTTCTTATTACTTCCCCCCCCCCCTATGGTTCCCAGAACGTGTGAGCTTTTCAGAAACCAACTGATATAGTATACTTATAATACGGAGTACGGAGATTGAGGTTTCATTCATAACAAAGTTTGTATTATGGACTAATATGGTATTGTTGTTGCAGAAATACCGACTTCATACCCGAAGACTTCCAGCTTCCACAGCTACTCCTGGTGACCAGTCTGTTGTAGTTCTCGGGAGTTTATGGATGTCCCAAGATCAATATAATGACTCCTCCAAGGGTATCGTTTCAGGGTCTGGCTCTCCTCAAGGTCCCCTCCAGTTAACCTCAGGATCTGGAGGAGGAATGTCCCAAACTGAAGATGACAGCATGGAAGATGATGATGATGAAAAATCCAGAGAGCGATAGATGGAATGGTGAAATCCATAAACCTGGAAAAAATGATGTATAGATATTCTCCGCCATGAATTTTGCAGATAAAAGTATACATGGGAGGAGTTTATGACCACATAAGGGAATACATCGTGAAACAAGTTGAAAAGGAGGATCTATCTGCATGGAGAGACTAGAGAGGCTATTTAAATTTTGCAGGATTAGCTTTCTTTCTGTTTGAGTTTGAGTTTTGATCTGAGACTCCGAGATTAAGATCATTTCTGCACATTAAGAAGCAGGTGTTTTTCCTCATATCATAAAATTCGTTCATTGCTTTTGGTCCTGAACACGATATGATGGTCCGTAAGAAATTTCTCCAGTGGCTTCTATGAGGTCTCTCCATTTTTATCCGAGTGCTTGCAAACACATGGAAAATTATGAAATATAGAACGATGAGGAGTATAACTGTCATGCTACCAACTTTTGGCCTATTATGATTTTCATTTGAAAGTAGCTCAGCGGTTTTTCATGTATGGCTGGTGATCTTATGATCTTTTCCATCCATTGTCATTACTTTATCTGTTGAATGCGGATTTAAAATCTGCCTGCTACCTAGGCTAAAATGTACCTTCTTTGTGTATACTGTGGTCCATTAGATGAGACTTCTTTGAAAAATTATTCTTTCAAATTACCGAAATTTTGCTGATGCGTGTGGTTGTGGGTTTGGTGACGAGGCAGATAAATCATCGTGTTCTGCAAAGTTCTCCCATTGGCAGCATCTTTTTGGAACTAAAAGCTAAATAACTTGGAATTCTCAGCACACTAAGTGACAATCATTTGATTATATAAAGGAGATCCCATTAAAGTCTTGTGTCGGCAAGCAATCAACTCAATCATATGGTTTTGAATCTGCTGACCAAATTATGTAGCCTTTAAACAAACATCTTAAATTTTGATTAGTCAAAGTTCAAACCCTCCTAGATCTTATGCTTTTGCCCAAACTCTTTTCATATCCCACCCAGAAAAAAAGAGACAAAAAAAGGGCCTGTATTTACTTGAAAAAGATCTCAAACATGCTTAAGTAATGTAATTATCGAGATTTTACTGTCTAGAGTGATTTTACAGAGAATTTCGTGGGACCACACGTTAGATTATATGCAAGAGAAAAAGAAGCCATGGCCGTATATGTGCACTAGATAATTCTAAAGAAAACTTTTGGATTAGCCTTGTGTTTAGCTGGGTGCAAGACAAAACAGTCACTTTCAGAAGCAAAATAATAGTGGCGAATCTTGCAGACAAGACATAATAAATGGGGGCCAATGGCATCCCAATTTTCAATTATAGTGTACATTGTCCGTTTGATGAAATGCGTGAGTGAGTGAATAATGATAGACGAGAGAACCTCCTTCTCTCTTTACCCTTATTTTCTAAATCGGGCCTTTTCTCTGCGCTGATCATTAACTGACACGATTCAATATCTTCTCTTGCTTCAACTGGTAATCATATTGATCAATGCATCAACAAATCACATGGCTCCTCAAAATGAATTTGAGCAAACAACCTGGCCCTACAAAGACAAAAAATTAAAATCATTTCTACCAAAGATTCCTTCTCTCATCGGTGACCCCATAGCTATCCTTCTTCATATGCACGACAAGAATTAGAATTAGAACTAGGATCGTGGACGGATATAAAATACAAAACAGAATGATGCTTGTGTGTTATGCATTTTTAAGTCGATTTCATTTATAGAAAAAGGTAAATTCAGATGCTTTTATGCTGTCATATTTTCAATGGAATTATTGTAAAGAACACCTTCGAGCTTTTAACTAACATGTTATAAAAGTGTCCCTAAGTTCAAGCTTAAAAAAAAAAAAAAAGAGTCACCAACAAGTGTCATCAACCACATTCTGACTTTAATAAATCGTTATAATTCAATTCAATTCACCTAAGCTTCCTATGATGAAAATATTATACTACAGTAAAATTATATTTTACTTAGCAACTAGCATCCTTTATGAAGAGCAAAAGAGCCCAAATATCCTTGAATATCATGCATGTCCAAAGGGTTCTTTCTAATCTACGATGCCTCCAAAAGCTGAGAAGGAGGCGTAGAAGGCCGAAAGGCCAACCACCGGCCACCTATACAAATTCAAATTTATGTCTTCACCTGATTCTCTCACCTTGTCTTTGCTTGTCTTCCAAAATTTGTGTGAAGTTTTCTCAGTTTGTATTTTTTCTCTGCCTTGTTTGGGAATCTTTTCACGGAGCACTCGTGAACGATGGAGAATCTTGCTCCCGAGGGAAGGGTCCACTTGCTTTCTAATTTTTTTAATCTGAAATGCCTCTTGTCAATGTGATATTCCCTGGTGCTATTTTGACTTTTAATATAAGAGTTAATTGTACATGTTAAAAATTTTATCAAATAGTAATTCTAGTTAATATTATTCTGGTCCTTAATATAAAAGTTATTTTGACTTTTAATTTGTTCATAAATATAAGAACCCAATTCACTTTTTCCCCTCATATCTATCTATTTTTTCAAAGTAGTATTTGTATTAGTTATACTTGTTAAAGATTCCATTAAATAGTAATTCTAACTAATACATATAATTAGCTTTAAGAAGACAACACCCTATTATTATTTCTAGTCCTTAATATAAAACCTAATTAACTAATTTGAGGAGATTAAGGAAATTAGTTAGTTTGTTATTTGTAATAAATATGCGTTTTTTTTCATAGAATACCTTTACTAATCATATGTATTAATTAAAACTGTCATTTAATGAAACATTTAATATATACAACAACTACAATGACTACTTTTAAAAAAATGAATAAATATGAAAGACAAAGTAAATTGTGGTTTTATACTTAAAAAAAAAAAGATAGATATGAACGATAAAATGAATTGGGATCTTACATTTAAGATTAAATTAAAAATTAAATTAATTTTTATATTAAGAACTGAGCTAGTATTAGCATTAGAGGCGATTTTATTTTTATGTGATCTTCTCCAATCTGGTCGTGTATTATTCGTATATTTAAAAATTATGACTTTCTCAGGCGGGTTCATGAAAAGAAGATTCTTATTAATGGACTATGTTCATCATTTGAGCCTAATTTAGTAGGGTGGGCTATAGGTTTGTTTGATGGGCTCTTCAGGTATAGGCCTGATTGGGAAAAACCGATGGGCTGGTCTTAAGGCCCTTGGCCAAGCCCAAACTTTACTTTCTGATCTTTTCTTTCAAAACTCATTTCAGGGTTCTAATATTTAAATTCTTGTTAAAAGAAGCTGATTGGTTTTTTTTTTTTAGATTTCTCCCTCCGGTATCCGACACCCTTTGGGTGCAGACTAAATCCGGAGTCGCCTCAGGTGGGACTTCCCAGGATTGAGCCCATACACTGGCGGGTACGTGGCGCCTTGCCTTCCCCTTGTCAACCGATGAGCTCGGTATCAGTACGTGATTTGGTGACTGATGCATACATATTAGCATACCCATAAAATGCAACATTGTCGGCAATGCATCTGAACCCATGGTGTAATAGATAACTGGAACCGTTACAAGCCAAACTTGTCCCTCAATGGGTGCAGAGAAGCTGATTAGTTATTTACAAGGCAAGAAATACTATCTATTTGCCTCTTATAGATACTCCTCTCAACTTTTTATGCTCCTAGCCCCCTCCATCCTAAGCTGCAGAAGTCATGCATTTTTCTCTTTGTTTTTGACGGAACCAGGGCTCAAAGGACGTCTTAGTAGTTTTTCTTTTTCCACAGTGAGTTTGGGGGCTTTAATATAAAGAACATATAGGAACTTTACACCAAAAAAAAAAAAGAACATATAGGAACTAAACAAACAAGAAAGTAAGGCATAAGTTATCAGGTGGAGGTTAGATTTATCTGATTCTGAGTCGTATAGTATAATGTGTTTTACCAGGAAGAGAAATATATAATATGGATAACCCGTGAGCATCAGGGCCTATTAGCTCAGTTGGTTAGAGCGTCGTGCTAATAACGCGAAGGTCGCAGGTTCGAGACCTGCATGGGCCAAGTAAATGATACTTTTTGCATTTATTTTCTTCGCCTGAAACTGGGATGAGAGAGCTGCTGTTTCACCACGTCCATTCCGAGTCAAGGCAGTAAGTAGTATATGCTATACCATAAATTAACCACTCAAACATCATGGTCATACAACATGTTGCCATCATCCCACATTCACAGAATAATCCAAACCATACAAAGTTTTCCCAGAAGGATCAGAAGCAGATGCGGTCGCTACTGTGCTCTGATCTGCAGGTTTGAAAGTTGCATTTCGAAAGTGGGGTGACTGATAAATTTAGTCAACTTCAGACAAGAGTAATCGATCATAGAAATAATGAAGATATCGTGTCGACTGAATTTGAAGAAAGATGTATTTGGGAATCCAAATGTCTCAATTTCAAAACGATTACTTTGCTTGCACACTCCCCCAATCCATTCTAATTCAGCTGCAGAGCTGCTAATTAACCCCAAAAAAGAGCTGCTTCATGTATATGTTGTCACTTATATTGTTTTCACTCGAACTAGATTGCCCTTTGCCCCTTAACTAGCATGATGATAGCAGAACCTGGTATAATAATGAGAGATTTGAAATTGACGTTCAAGAAATGTGAGAATACTCGTTTAAAACACAACCACTTTTGCTGCAACAGATGGCAGCTAAATGGCGGGGGAATTCCCACTTTTTGGTTTCTTTGGGCATCATCCTTGGATGGTCTGGTAATATTATTGTGGAAAAAATAAGAACCATCACATGCCAGGGATTGGCCTCAGGGAGGCATCATTGCATAGAATTGAAAAGAAGGCAACATTCTGAAACAATGATGATAAGCTTTTTGACGCTAGCCCCCAAAAGCTTCCAACTTATCTTTGAGCCATCAATGACACATTACAGTTTGAATCAAAAAGACGTCAAAATAAGGGACACCCTCAACCAGATGAGACGAGGAGATTCTCTGGGAAATACATCACCAAAACCTCATCGACTCAGAATGAGAATAAACAATCCCAGCAGATGCTGAACTCTCTCTCTCTCTCTCTCACCCCTCCTTGTTAGCATCAATCTCTCTCTTTTAAGGTTGGTCTTGATATGACGTGACATTCTCACACCTCCCAACACTTCTTTTGTTGCTTGCCAGTGCCTCACCAGGAACTAATCCCCTTCATCTGAAAAGGCCTTTGCTTTTCTCTCTTGGGTCTAGTATTTATATTTCACTTTCACTCTTTCAGCTGCACCCAGCAGTTGCCCAATGGCTTCTTTTATCAATTAATATTCATGGCCATATAATATCATATCTTACACATTTGTCCTCATTCGCCCATCTCTCAGCCCTCTCGAACAAAACAAATCCCAAAACATAACGGATTCAACATGCTTACTAGTTTTGTTTATTGAGTTTCCTTGACCTTTTCCTCCTCCTCCTCCTGCTCCACATCTTCAAATATCTGTGAATCCTGAAATATTTTCGGTTTCAGATACAGACCTTCTCACATGTCCGCACCAGTGACCCAGCCAGCCTACGCTGCGCACACGGGCCATGGGTCAGTCGGACCCGTTATTGCAGTTCTTGCTGTCATCACCGTTCTGGGAGTCATAGCCGGGATGATCGGAAGGCTCTGTTCAGGTCGTCCGGTGGGTCACGCCCACTACGACTTCGAGAGCTGGGTCGAGACCAAATGCTCCTCCTGCGTCGACGGCAGGATCGCCCCTCCTCCTCCGTCAGTCGAAAGCTGCGCGGGCGGCTCGCCGGAGATGACCGAAGAACAAGAAGAAGAGAACCAAAGGCAGAGCTCGCCATCAATGGTAATAAGTTAATCTTGTTGGCGAAGGAAATAGCAGTGTTGATATAGCAGCATTTACTGACGGAGGAATCAGAAAATTATCTCGTATTTGAGTGCCTCGCAAAGCTTCTTTTTAGTTCATTTTGGTGAACTGGAAAAGCTTTGTGTTAAAGATGATTGCTCGATGAGATGCTTCACCTTGTCCTGAAATATTTGTACTTCATCACCTTGCTTGTATCTCTCTCAAAGTTGTTTGACAACTTTTGACAGTTTTAGTTTCAGAGTTTAATTAAGAGGGAGGAAAATGCAGATGCCTTATTGCTGTAAGTTATTTCGTTTCAATTGGGTTGGCGGGGCTGTAATTTTTAATATGCGTGTTTTCCTGATGGAATTGGTCATTTAGATGGGCTTTTCAGTTCATGGAAATGTTAAAATTCAGTATTGGATCTCCCGTTTTGAAACAAAAACACAAAACAATTATCAAGACCATGGAAACCAGAAATTAATTGTTGAGGCTGATGTTGAGGGTGTTTTAGCTATTTTGTGGAAACACGTTAATGGGAAGAACAAGCATAATCATCATATGCAGTATTGTTATTATTCATGGATTGATGGCGACGTTTGATGGCCAGATTGTTGGATTCCGGTACCGTAATATGTGTTATGAGCTGTGGATTAAGTGGCAAACAAGGACGAGACTTGGAAGACGACTTTGATGCCCACTTTTGGCTGTTAATTCACCTCCCAGTCTCACTTCTCACAAATATACCAACCCAACTCTTCTGGGCACGTCACTATTTTTGGATTAATACAGTCTTTAGTATTTTAGTATCAGTCCTTTGAGTTTCCAAAAATATGTTTTGATATGGTTCAAATTTTTATTAAATTATAAGAATTAATGTCTTAGATGAAAAAAACTGGATGAATCAAAACTTATCGCTGAAAACTTGAGAAATTAAAACCAAAATAAGAATAAACTTAAGAGATAAAAAATTATATTAATCCATTGCATTTTCATGTCACTTCTTTCTAATAAAAAAATAACTATATATCAACTTTTATTCTAAACTAGGCTCATACGTTGTCTTATTTGAGTGAGACTGACCAAGGAAAAAAATATATACAAGCTTGTCATTTACCCTAAAATAATTTAAACTATTTTGAAAAGATTGATAATATATTTATATAATTATGATTACTTGTTGAATCATGAATAGAATGATACAAGAATAGGAGCAATATGATAGGACGGCTCCATCACGTGGGTTATTCAGTTTGGATGGTGGAGGGAGTTTCTGAAATTTGCATGTGAAAGAGACAAGTTTTTGCGTTTGGCATCCTCTTTTCCTTAGGAATCGAATTTATATTATCAACGTCTCAAAAGTTATTAAAATTATACATTCAATATAATTAAGATTACCAGTGCTCAGGAAAAAAAAAAAGAAGATTGCCACAACAACGTACTAATAGATACAACATGGTACATTTCATATCAATGCAATGTCAGAAAAAAAATTAAGATCTAACTTAATATTAAATTACACATAAAATTACATTTTTACAGATAAATTTAATTTATTTATATCAATATATCATAATATAAATAATAATTTTTATTATATATATCGTGTTAGTGGATATTAAGCGAGAAGGGGGGAAACAGAGAGCTCACGGGCTGGAATGGCAGTGAGCCAGTGACTAGAAGGACAGGCAAAGGCCATGATTGGGCTATATATTGCCGTGTAATGGGCTCCTAGAGGCCCACATTTTCTTGGGCCCAGAGTACGGTATTTCACCCCTTAGGCCCAGCACAACATCCGACCACATGCATGTTACATATAATGTGAACGTATGGCACACCGCTAAATACAAACAGCCAAACAAACCTTATCAGACTACATTAAACTCCATTAATTAACACCAACATTATTAAAATTAACATTAAATTGTGACAAGATAGGACCCTCCTTAAAATTTTGCTTAGGAAAAAAAAATCATGCTCTTTCTAGCAAAAGAATATAACTCTAAGCCTCGTCTGAAACATTTTATATTTTGAAGAGTAAATTAAACTTAAGCATCGCCGGTTTAAGAAAAGAAATACTGAGGCTTCGACATAAACAAAATAATTGTATCCATATACTTAATAAACTTATAAAAAGTGACTCTATTTATAAATTAGGAATTAGGAATGGTATAAATTTTTACAGGATGCTATCTCTTTTTTTCCCAGCCATTGATGCTATCTATCTAATTTATATAGAAAAAAACTTAACATAAAAATAATTTGATTTAAATTTTATGCGTATTTATAATTAAATATTAATATTTAAAAAATAAGACATATAACTATTTATACATGTATGTTTCTATTATGAAGGCGTCGATGGAATTGAGACCCAAAAAGGACGAGACAAAATAGAAATGGCGGGTCATCCGATAAAACAATAATGGGACAGGACAGGACGGCTCAAATTTACTGAAAAATTGGAGGCGTTCGGAATTAGAAGGGACGAGTGACGCGACAGTGATGCCAGGTATTACTTCTATTTACATAAATTACCATGAGAAAATCGCAAAAAAGACTGCTAAAATTAAAAATATATATATAAGAGCCTAATTATAAGAATTGTTATCAAAACCTGTAGTGTTTTCGAAACATATACTAATACCATCATGGTTCCTGTTTATAATTTTTTTATTTTTACGGTTTGTTTTGCGATTTTCCCATTTACCATTTCAATTTCTTTCATTTGACCTCATGTTTCTGAGACCTTATTTGCTTTTCTCTCAAGTCTCCTCAACTCAGACCAGAGTCCAGGAGGCATTATTCGCGTAAGCCATCATAGAAGAAGAGAGATGGGGAGGCCAAGGTGCTTCTTGGACATAAGCATAGGCGGAGAGTTGGAAGGGAGGATCGTGGTGGAACTTTACAGCGACGTCGTCCCCAAAACCGCTGAGAACTTCAGAGCTCTCTGCACTGGCGAGAAAGGCATTGCTCCCAACACTGGGCTACCCCTCCATTACAAGGTTTGTTATTGCACTAACTTTGTCAGGTGACTCAGAAAAATCGCGTCTTTTGCTGTTCTTCATGAACATGAATGGCTTCATTGCCTGTTACTGTTTCAATGAGAGGGCTACCTTTTCTTTTACTCATGAGTCATGAGGGATTTGCACCATGAAGATTGCACATCTGTGCTTTTATACTTTTTTTTGAGTAATCTTAGCGACTTAAGGCTCTGCACTTTGCAGCAAACGAAAGGTCGAAGACGGTCCTCTGCAACGTTTTGAACGATGAGTAGAGAAAAGACGGTTATGCCCTTGATTTTGTTGACTGTTTGTCTATGTTGTAAGCAAAGCATGCTGAGTTTTGCCGAACCCTCTTGTAATTTGAGAGGACGGCATTCGACGGAATGCCTTTTATTGCCATAATCTGGGAAAGGGACTCCTTTAACTTCTATCAATGATTCTTCTTTTCTCTCTTCGGAGGTCACTTTTTTTGGGTATAATGCCATGCATTTTCTTTTTTAACAGAGCTATGGCAACTGTTTGATGTTTTGATTTTTATTTTTGTAATTATTTGATGTCATTGAATAAAACTCTGATCAACAATCGGGGCATATGGTGTGAGTATTCAGAGTGCTGATGGAACATAGAGAAATGCTGATAACATACAATAATTTAGACTTTAGCAAGTTGTGGCAGACCATGATGATTCTTAACTGTAACATATATCTTCAAATTATTGTAGCATTCTAATTTTTAGTGATGATTTGCACTTCTTATAATATCCTTTGTGATCATAATATGCTAGGATGTGGCCTCACGTGATTCTATTCTTTTCACTGGTCTTTTTGATTGGGGGATCAGTGGGTCAGTACATAATTCGGTATCTTATAGCATGATGTGAGGAAAGATTAGATCCCCTTGTCAGTAGTTCCTTTACATGCCTACATACATACATATATATATTTGGAATTGAGAGAGACAACATGCTATTTCATGATATGAATGCCAAATCATTATGCTTAGTTTTAAAAGATGTTTTCTTCTGAGAATATTCTTCTGTCATTAGGCTTTAAGTTAACCATAGAATTCGTAATATACTTTTCTGAATATTCAGGGGTGTTGCTTCCATCGGATTGTTAGAAGCTTTATGATCCAAGGAGGAGACATATCTGCTGGAGATGGTACTGGTGGAGAATCTATATACGGGATGAAGTTTGAAGACGAGAATTTTGAGTTGAAGCATGAAAGGAAAGGGATGTTATCAATGGCAAATTCTGGCCCTAACACCAACGGGTCTCAGTTTCTTATTACCACTACTCGAGCTGCTCATCTTGATGGTAAGCATGTGGTGTTTGGGAAGATAGTAAAGGGAATGGGGGTAGTCCGTTCAATGGAGCTTGTTACTACTGGTGATGAAGGTCGCCCCATTATTGATGTTAAAATTGTGGACTGTGGAGAAATTCCTCAGGGAGCAGATGATGGAATATCTAACTTTTTCAAAGATGGTGATGCTTATCCTGATTGGCCGGCAGACCTCGATGAAAGCCCTAATGATCTCCATTGGTGGATGAATGCTGTTGATTCCATTAAAAATTTTGGTAACGACTACTTCAAGGTATTGGAGCTTTATCATAGTCTTCTTTCTAGTCTCACCTGCTTCATTTAATATATCTTTTCATGTTGTGAAACTGTAAGAATGTGTTTTTCTTGTTCTACTGGTTAATATTTGTTCTGTTATTATAATTGCATTCATCAATTTTCCCTCTGGAAGAAACAAGATTTTAAAATGGCTTTAAGGAAGTATCGGAAGGCTCTACGCTACCTTGATCTTTGCTGGGAGAAAGGAGTCGATGCTGGTATGTTAATGTTTGTTTAGTTATTACTTGACTATATGGTGAACATGCCACAAATTCACTGGCACCTCACTTGAATTTGATACTCTTATGTTAATTCCTTTTCAGACAAGAGTTCAAGCTTGAGAAAAACGAAGTCTCAGATTTTTTCAAACTGCTCTGTAAGTTCAAAGCCATTACATTGTACATTGAAGAGAAAATTTTTTAAATGCACTCTACCTATAGCAACTGATTTCATTCTAACCTATGTTTCTTGTTTCCCTTCTAGTAATTGTTCTTGGTATATTTGCTTTTCAGGCTTGTAAATTGAAGTTAGGGGATCTCAAAGGAGCATTATTAGACACAGAATTTGCAATGCGCGAAGCAGGCAATAATGTCAAAGCTTTGTTTCGCCAAGGGCAGGTTGGTATTTCTATTAACGAACTTTTTTGTCACCATTTGGCGGCATTTGGATCTAAACATAATGTATCCCACTTTGCAATCTGATGAACATGTTTCTTGATCTAAACATAATATATCCCACTTTTCAATCTGATGAACATGTTTCTTCCATCTTCCCAGGCATACATGGCGCTCCGTGACATTGATTCTGCGGTTGAAAGCTTCAAAAATGCACTAACCTTGGAGCCAAATGATGGTACATGTCTTATTCATATTTTTCAAATAAGCTGTACCGTATGTCAATTGATATATTTTTTTTAATGCACAAAAATGGATTTAAATGTATTCAAGTATTCAACTTCATGCATAATCTGGTCTGGAGGCTTTAAGTTATAAGAGACTGGAAAGGTGAAATAGTTTTTGATTGCTTACTTGAGATCTGGTGATTTTCAGCTGGAATCAAAAAGGAGCTTGCTGCTGCCAGGAGGATGGTGAGGGTATCTGGATGTTTTAGCAAAGCATTCTAGCATCAAACAAATGCCTATTGGTGCATCTAACTGATTCATCTTTTTTTGGCAGATTGCTGATAGACACGATCGGGAAAAGGATGCATGCAAAAAAATGTTTCAATAACATTTCTGGTAGGTGCTTACTTTTTGGGGTAACATGCATGTGAACAGATTTACATTTTTGGTAATATGTTGTTCCATTGCTGATGTATTGTTGACAGACTCATCTTGCCTCGATGTGTTTTTCTAACATTTGCCCTTCAGCTCAATGTTTTCAGCAGAGGAGAACAACCTGACCACCGAGCAAGTACAGTATAAAATTTTGAGTCCATTGTTGCAGAGTTAGTGCGAATGAAGCTCAGAATATCAAAGGAGAAAGTGTTTTTTTTTTCCTTTTTAATGACAGTAATAGCCAAACCTTTTTTTCCCCCCGTTTTCCCCCTCTTTCTCTTATATGAAGTCGGTAAAATGACTCCTCTAAACAGTTTCCTTGTGGTCCCAGTGAATGAATATGCATTATAGCTTATGGAACCACAAGCAATGCATTATCTGATTCTAATATTTTACCATCGGCGGGTTTTGATCCTTTGGGGGTATCAGGTTCATCGTGTTCTTTGTAATAGTTGTGGAAGTCTGATGGCCATTAGGACCCCTTAATGGCACTTCTTTTTACTGCATTTAGTCATTTATTACCTGTATCCCAAAAACAAATCGTAAAACTCACTTCATATGAAATTATCGCCTAATGGGAAGTTTAAGTTTTAATTACTCGTTATAAATTTATAATACATGGAGCTGCCATGTAAATAATTTCTGTACCGGTATACTTTCTTTCGTTGCAAGACGCCCAAAGACTAAAACAAGTTTAAACAGAATATTCGTGACAAAATAACGAAGATTTATTTTTTAATAATAAGAAAATGATAAATAACATGTTTTTATTTTGTATTAAAATGCATCTAGCATTTTGAACATGCATCCCCAATTTTAAATTATTTAATGGTGTAATTTGTCTTTTAATATTAAAAATGGAGCAATCTCACCCTTATTCTAATAATAATGGATTAATGGATTTATGATAACTATGTTAAGGTTTATTAGCATCCAACTTGTCTCGTCCCAGTCAATTTAGGATAGGACGACTATGGGACGGGACAAAACAGTCTTGGTGATAGGACATCGAATGGAATTGTCTAGTCTCAAATTTTTTCTTAAAAAATTACTTATTAATAATTTTTAGTAGATTATTTAATTTGTTCGAAGAATAATTAATTTTTATAATGATTTTCAATTCTTAAGTTGTAATATTATCTTAATAAAATTCCTTCCCTAATAAAATAATTTATAAAGTCATTATATAATGTTTTTTTATGATAATTTTTTGTACAATATTGTTTTTATATTATATAATTAAACTTTTTATATAATATTTTTAGTATTTTTATTTTCAGAAGCCCAATTAAAAAAACAAATATTACAACATAAAAAAAATCAAATTCAAATTACATTAGTCTATTAAAAAAATTAAACTCGTCTTCTCTTATATCCTGTCTAGTCCTGACAGGACTAAGATAACCTCATGATGAGACTATCAGGATAAAAATTTCTCATTTGCAATATAGTAGGGACAAAATTACATTACAGCTTAAGACCTCAAAATACAATTCAAGATGATAGGTGCACATGCACTTTTTTATTTTTATATGCTCTTTTCTGTCTTAAATATAAAAACTATTTGTGAAATTTATTTTGATGTTAAATATAAAATACTATATTTTTTTATATATTGTATTTATTACTTTTTCTCAAACTACTTCAGTTTTTTATAAAAAACCTAATTCTTGAATTAATTTTGATTCTAAATATATGATCTATTTTTTATATTTATCAATTTTTTTTAAATTATCCTTATTGATACTCCATCAATTATAATTAAATAGGAGAGGAAATGAAAATATTAAGAAAGATAATTATAGTGTTTAAAAAATAATATTTTTTATAATTAACTAACTTATTTAATTTTTTTAATTTAATTAAATTAGTTAAATATGTCATAATGGAGAGTTTCTTATAAAGAGAAAGCACAATGGAAGTTGGGGGGGAAGAAAAAAAAGGGAAGCAAAATAGAAAATCCAGACCGAACCAAATAATGGATATCTGATCTCTGATTTCTGACAGACAGCTATACGATTTTTGAGTAAAATATCCTTCACCCTCAGCTTTGTACAAAGTATTTTGTAACGCATATATCATATTGTAGCGGAGATGTTAAAAATACTGGCTGTCCCACACTGACGTTGAGACCCTCTCAAAAAAAAGGAACACATCGAATCAAAAATGTATGAGCTACAGGTTGTAATCATCAAGCCCCAAATCCCTCAGCGCATCGGTAGCTGCGTCCTTACAGCTGTCATGGTTTTGCTTGGCCTTGCGTATGAATTTCTCGACCCCACTATTAAGCAGAGCGGTCCTGTCAAACAGAAAGTGCAAGTTGATAGCAATCTCGAGCTAAAGCTACGCTACGCGTTGTACAAAAGTGCTAAAAGAGAAATATTTTGAAAGCAACAGAAGGAAGAGGGGGAAGAAAGATGAAAGTCTTGCCTGTTTTCAGGGTTTCTCACTGCAAGATTTCTGATCATAAAACAGGAATTTCTCTGCAATTGCTGTGCTGCGGGAAACTTCTGCATGGCTTGAATAGCAAGGTCACCAGCACCAGCTTCAACGGCACGGGCAGCATTGTCCGGGGATCTCAATGAAAGCACAGTAATAATAGACATAATCTGTGCCACAAAAACCACATCAAAACCATCAGGTGATGCTATATTCATAATATTGACCGGGAAAGGAGGAGCAGCAAAGGTTAAACCATAATGGAATAAAGATTGCATGTATTAAATTATTCATAATATCTAGTAGGGAATGAGAAATGGTTTAGACTGATGATTGGAACTCTATTGGGCAGTCTCACTTTACAGGTATTGCAGTTTCTCACCTCTTGCAACACAGAAGGGTCTTCGGCAAACCTTGCTGAAAGTTTTATTAGTCTATCCATACCTCCCTTTTCAACAACTGCACTCTTGTTCGCATCACTTCCTGCCAACTGATCAATAAAAAAATTAAAATTTACATCAGCTTCAAAGAGGAGTCCTACAATACCCAATCATCATATTATGAAAAATATGAACTGATACGTTATAAGATAAAAATAAGAACAGCAGTCGAAATATTGCTGCGGCTTGTCCAAATTTATAAGAAAACTAAAGATAGAAGGAAATATACGGAACATATCCCTCCTTAGATCAGCTTTTGCGGAGCCCATACATTTCAGAAGCTTCTATATTTGCCAAAAAAAAATGCGTTATGCCCGACATTTTATCATATATGACGAACTAATAAATTCAGGTGAACTTACGACTTGAGTGTAAATGCATACTCAGTCGTCGATCAACAATCAAGTGGAGTTGTAAAATCTATAAGATCTATATATTCCAAAATAAAAATATAATCAATAACCACATAATGGTCAAAAGAGAGGGCACAAAACCTTACAAAGAACCACTACGGAAATAGAAAATCCTGTTATTTTTGCCGGCCAGAGAAGGTGATGTATTTAACATGCAGCCTATTCAACAAAAAGGAGAAGCTTTTGGCCCATACCTTTGAAAGCAAGGAGCAGCAGACTCTGGCCACTCCTTTGTTGCCTTGCTTGCCACTGTCATCTATGCATCTGAGTAAGGCATCAATACCTCCCTTTTCAGCAATAGATCTGCATATTTCATCCTGCAACATGAAACCATAAACACTCAACCGAAACAACACAGACAATGCAGGCTCATGTTTTGCCGCGGTCAAGTAAGCCCAAGCAAGAAAGGACTTGTATATCATTAAACCAAGTGTAATGGATTATAACAAAGAACTTCACTATCACTCTACTAAAGCAAAAAAGTTTAATACTAAATCAACTTTTCATGCTTGGCATATGATAGGATTTTGCTCACTCACATTTACAGCTATGGCTTTTAAAGCAATGCTTGCCGAAACTAGGCCAGGAGAGGTAAGTCCTGAATGTAGTGAGTCGACAAGGGCTTCTGCAATCCCAATCTTGGCAAATTTTCGTGCATACCCATAAACCTGAATTGTGAATGTATTAGATACTTCAAGTCACAAAGTACACATAATTGGAGAGCTTATAAATTAGTGATTTTGAATGACTTGAATTGTAGAAAAATCCCAGTTGCTATCCACCAAGTCAGGTTTGTGTTTTATTTTCATCATCACGTAAAAGGGTGTGTCATTTCTAAAAGTTTTAAAAATATGTGCTTTCTTGAATAAAGCATTGACTTACTTGAGAAGCTACGACTCGATTATCATCGGCAGTTAGAAGTACACGAATAGCATCATATAAGCTTGGGATGCTGACATTCTTATGCATGGACATGATTTCCATAATTAGCTCATCAACTTTTAAGATCACGAAAGCCTCTTTGACAATTTCATTACCCGTTGCAGCTGAAGCCACCACACCAAAACCATCATTTAAGATGTCAACATTCTGCTTATTATCATTTAGGATACCAATTACAATGCTCGGTCCATTACTGCTCTGAAATATTCCGGTGCTTTGAACATCTGCAGCGACAAGGATTATAAAACTACCTTGTCAAAAACATGATGAAGCACAGAAAAAGCCGGAAATATGAACTAAAATTCAGTTAATATGCTATGCGATTTGTTGATTACACAGTACAAGTAGCAACAACCATGAAGGGTCTTGCTCGGACAAGCAATAATATGAGTATGATATGCCAGAGAACGCTGCCATTAAAGAGCAAATATGTCAGTACTGCCTTGCAAGGAATAAGGAATGAGATCTCACAAAGGTGTGCTATTGGCCAGGTCTTTTGACACATGTAGGACCAGAACTCTGGGTTACCTATCTGCTTAGGGACGAAAATCTGCTGGTCACTTGAATGAGATCATTCTCTCTCCCTTGCTTTATTTTTCCCTTTTCCTTTTTTTAATAAATTTGGGGGGGGGGGTGTTTCTCCTCTCTCTTTCCTCTCTTTTATACCTCCTTCCCATTTTCCTTCAAGTTTCCCATAACCTCATACATCTGTCTAAGTATCTTAAATTACAAATTTTTTTATTACTACCAAGCACGCTACATATAGTAATTATTAGAACTCATGTCTCACCATTAATTATAGATAAAGCTCCAATTATCAGTAAAAATAACTAAGGCAGTGATAAGCCATTAAATATATTAATTCATACATTCTGAGACTTTACTTCCATAATCAACATCCCAAAATTTTACTGAGACATGAATAACAAAATATGTCCAAAAGGAACAACACTCACTGGAAGCACGTTTACTTTCCCCAATAAAGAAAGCAAGTAAAACAAAAGGACATGAGTTTCCAAATCAGCTGAAACAACGTAATTTACCACACGCAAGACGCAACTAAGCAACCTTATCTGATCAGATGAATCGGAGATGTATGTTAGATTTCAGCGCAAATATCTCACCGTGGAGCAACGATGCCATAGTCTTCAGAGCTGAAACCAGAGCACGGTCACATCCCTTGGGTATTTTGGAACATGCAGAACAAACCAATTCCACGCTGCCATTCTTTGCAGCAACAGCTGCATTCCCAGATCCTTCGACATTACAGACCTCGGTAAACTTATCAAACAGTTCCACCATCACATCCAAATCCTTATCGCCGATCTGATCCCCCAATCTAGATTCCAGTTGCTTTAAACTATCCAAACACTGGATGACGGGGTTGTCTTTCACCTCACTCTCTCCCGGAACGCAAGTAATGATGCCTGGTAATTAAGAGATGATATACTTTATTAAATATTGGAGTTAACTTATCGCGCGCTTAGCTCAGTCACAGAAACATCTTCCCAGCTAGCTAAAGCGGCAAACTCAAGAAAATTAATAAGGAAAAAACCACTGGATTGATTTCATTTCCTGGTCTAATGTGATTTCCCAGAAATTCGCATTTCCTTGGTAACGAAATGGATGTAAGAAATATTAAAACCCGGGATGTAGCGAGGCTCATACCTGATAGATCCACGCCTTGGAGTCTAAGAGTTTCTATGGCGTCCTGGAGAGCCTCAGCAGGATCCATTCCAAGGTCGTCCATGTTCTCCTTCACCATTTCATCAAATGCTTCCTGCGATATCGTCCGAATCGTCGCTTTGGGCGGAGCCATTCCTATGTTTAACTCTGTTGCAACTTCTAAATAGAGCGATGAGAGCTGAGTTGAGAGAGTGAACTCCCACGATTGTTTCAGTTTCAATTTCAATGTTTTCTACTTTTCTGGCGCATCACCAGAGTCGTATGGCGGGAACGACACTAAAATCGGCGTCCGTCAAAACGACATCCTACTCGTGATCGTTTGATGGTAATTTTCAGTGACGTAAGGAAAGCCTCAGCATGACGCGTCACCATCCCCCGTGGCCAAAGACGATTGTGTTTGGAAATAATTTATTTTGACAATTTTTTTAATAAATACTCCTCCAGTCCTTAATATAAAACCCAATTTTTGAGTTGGTTTTGGTCCTAAATATAAGACCCATTTTTTATATTTATCAGTTTTCTCTAAATTGTTCCTATGGATACTCCCTCAACCTAAATCAAGTAGAAGAGGGAGAGGAATATTAAGAAAGATAATTATGGTGTTTTAAGAAAAATATGTTACTTTTCTTATAATTAACTAACTTACCTAACTTCCTTAACTTAAATCTTATATTAAGGACCAGAGAAATATTTAGTGATCTTTGGTAGAGAGAATATATTGAAATAATTATCTTAACAAACGTCATAAATTCGTCATCACTCATACGGGGGTGTGAACTGTGAAGAATGAAAAACTTTTTCGTCTCTATTCGTAGGCCTAATAAATTTGACCAAATTAATTAATTGGCAACCCAAATGTTTCAGTTAAATCTGCGGTATCATAGCCTGTGCTTTCTAGTTGTGCGTTGAATGTGTTTTGAGATTTGTATACATACAAGGCGACCTCCATTGAAGTTTGGCCGACCAGAAAGATGAAATAATTTGGTGGCAAAAACCTTCTAAGCCTAATTCACTACTATTTATAAATAAAATAACTGTTTATTGGTGGTTTGAAACCCTTTCACCTTCCCTTACTTGAAAGAGTTGTTTCAATGCTAAACAATATTCTTCCGGTTCTTAATATAAGACCCATTTAACTAATTTGATTAGATTAAGGAAGTTAGGTAAATTAGTTAAGTATAAGAAAAGTGACACATTTTTTCTAAAACACCATAATCATTTTTCTTAATACCTCCTCTCCCTCTTCTATTTGATCATGATTGAGGGAGTATTCATAGGGGTAATTTAGAGAAAATTGATAAATATGATAAATGAGTCTTATATTTAGGACAAAAACCAACTCAAGAATTGAGTTCTATATTAAGGAGCAGAGGAGTATAATATATCTCATCCATTTGGGGAGCTAAACAACAGGAATGGATTGCAATTTTTTTTTACTTTAAATTAGGAGAAACACTGAAATTGAAGAGAAACATCAAAGTGTATATGTGGCTGCAATTTCTTGATTACTGAATTACAGATATTGTGTATACCGTACAGTATAGTAATAATCTACTCCCAGTGGAAGGCTCTAGCATTTGAAAAAAAACCTTGTAAGTGAACGTTTACCTATGCAACGTGCAGTCGTATAGCAACAAGTCCTACCAACCCACATTAGACAAATTGATGGAGAAAGGTAAATTAGGCCATCTTGCACCACAAGACTCCATTAATTACATGCTTCACACATTTCCCCCCTTATAAAAGAACACTTGTAATAAGCTTCAATGTTCAATCCCAACATCACCAACCAAACCATTCTGATCTTTTGATAGTTGAGTAATAATAGGACGATCATGGCCGCGAAGCTTGCAGCGTTAGTCCTCATAATTACTGCTTCTTCCCTGTTTGGAGTGAGCATGGGCAACAAGGACTGGTTCTGGAACTGGGGCAGCAATTTCAACTACACAGACTGGTGGAACTTTAATCATATGAACAAAACACAGCCTCAATCCAACACCGTTGTGGTGGGTGGCTCTCAGAATTGGCACTTCGGCTTCAACTACACTGACTGGGCCATGAAGAATGGGCCCTTCTACCTCAACGATACCCTCGGTGAGTCCTCTCCTTCTTCATAGCCACTATTTTATATATATCTTCTAGAATTCAGTGATGAATTGAACTGATACAGAATGTGTGTGTAGTGTTCAAGTATGATGCTCCAAACGCGACGTCGTTCCCACACAGCGTGTACATGTTCTCGGACTTGAGGAGCTTCATGAGCTGTGACCTGAAGAGAGCGAAGATGGTGGCGAATCCCAAACAGGGTGGAGGGCAAGGGTTCAGGTTCGTCATCAAGAAGTGGAAGCCTCATTACTTTGCATGTGGCGAGAGAAATGGCTTCCATTGCAGGAATGGTCTCATGAAGTTCGCCGTCTTCCCCATGATTCGCCCTTTCACCCCCTGGCCTTGGCAATTTTCCCAGTCCCGTCCATGATATAGATGAACACAATACATATACTCTACATCCATTATAGCAAGTTACGCTTTATAGATACACGTCACTTATACATCCAAGCATAAATAAAGCAATATGTTTCATCTCTGTTGAATATAGTTCTACTCAAAATAAGGCCAAACATCTGAATTACACTCTTCTGGGGACACTGTAATTGATATATGTAAAAAGGGCTTGTCAGTGTTGAACTCACTGTTATATACACAGAAGCTAAGTCTCGTTTGAGTGCTTCGTGCTCTACACCTGTGGATTGGTGATTTCGTTTAACCCGATCAATATTTGTACCATGTGTGAGCTTGATTAGCAAGACCAAAGTTCACTTTAAAGTAGATGATGACGAACTTCATTTACACATCCCGTCGTTTTGCTTTCTTACACTACTTACCTAGCTAAAAAAAATGTTTGGATGAAAATTTTAAAACTAATTTTACAATGTATGAAGTAAATATATGAGAAAATTTTTATTTTAGTTTGTGACAAACAGTGATTTTAAAAGTAATTTCACAGTATATAAAATAAATATATAAGAAGGGTTTTGTTTCATTTGTATGAAATTATTTTTTGAAAATATTTTTTCTTAGTTCAAAACTCCTCTAAAGACTCAGTTTAAGTCCTAATATGTGCGTTATGCGAGAAAAAGAATCTAGCTAGCTGGTACTACTTCCGGTCCTTAATATAAGACCCTATTTAATTTTTATTTTGGTACTAAATATAAGATCCCAATCCACTTTATCTCTCATATTTACTTAATTTTTTCTAAGATAGTCATTCTAATAATTATAGTTCTAGTTAATATACTTGATTAGCAAGGATATTTTAGAAAAGACAACACCTATTTAGGACAAATAACTAACTCAACTTACTTTCTTAATCTCCTCAAATTAGTCAACTGGCTCTTATAATTAGGACTTGTAGTATCATTTTGAAACATTATAATCTTTAAGATAAAACCACTTTCATATTATTTTGGTGAACATACACTTTATTGTTTAGTAAAATATAATGCTCAACAAATCCCTTTGAAAAGAAAGTTAAAGGAGCTTGAAATTAAAGTGAGATCAGATTGCTTCGAAAGGGCTTTCTTTACCATCTCATTTTGGACAAAATCGCATTGGTGTCCGAATTAATCCAAGTATTTTGTATTTTTTTTAATATAAGACATAATTAACTAATTTAAATATATTAAAGATATTAATTAAATTAGTTAATATGATTTTTTTAAAAAATAATCTCAAATATCTTTCTTAATTCTTTTCCTATCATTGTTAAGAAAATATTAATAGAATTAATTTAAAAAAATTGATAAATATGTGAAATAACTAAATAAGTCTTATATATATAGGATCAATATCAACTTTCCAATTAGATCCTATATTAAAAACTAAATGAGTGATAATTTTCATATGGATGGTTTGAGTTTATCACATAAAAAGAAAAAAAAATCAAAGTTTTCTTTTTTCAAACAAGTTATGCTTATTTTAATAAAGTTTAATAAGCGACTTAGTTATACCATTTTTTTTCCAAATGCTTTATTGATACTCAAAATAAAAATAACTTACAATTCCCAACAACAAAAAAATACTACTAATAAGTAATTAAATACCTGAAAAAACGATTATTATCACCTGAAAATTTGAGGAGAGCTTTGAGTTTGACAAATGATAATTATTTTGATTTGACTTAGGTTCGATAGGAGAGGTCCGTCATCCCATGTGAGTTCCAACTTCCATCAGAATGAGTGTGTTCGGAGGAGATAGCTGGGCAAGGGAAGCGCAATACAGGAAAAGGAGGGTTGACGATCTGCTTGTGGAGGGGATTAATGGCTCTGCCTTCAAGAAGCTCGCTAACGGCAAATACGCCTGCCTCGTCTGCCCCCACAATCCCATCCTCGATACTCCTCTCATGCTCTCGGTTCGTATTTCACTCTATTCTTTTTCGCGCTATTTTCTTCCAATTCACTTCGAAATGGAATTTGGACGCCCGGATGTGACTGTGGTGTTTTACTGTTTTACCACCGAATTGATAGTAATAAACTTCTGCGTGGCCCCTTATGGCTAATTTCCTCCGTTTGTTTATTTCTTTTATTTTTACTTCCTTCTGGGTGTGAGGTTTCTTCTTTCTCCTTTTATTCTGCTAAAAGAAGACGAAGAAGCCGCCAATGTGGAAGAAAGGAGCATAGTTACATGGGCTCTCATATTAAATGCTTCGGGAAACAGTGATTCTTGCACCGTAGGATTTATGCTGCTCATTGTATGTATGACTGATTGTATTGATCACGCTTGTAAAGCTAGTTTGCAGTTCATCCTTTCGGCTTTTTCTAGTGAATAAGTCTGGAGAACCCTTTTTTTTTTTTTTTTTGTGGGGGAGGTGGAGATCATGTACTACATTATTTATATTTGACGAAATAAACTCAAAAAGAAATGAGTGGTTGTTCCTCAGTTACGTGGGAGTTGCATGAATGATCAGCATTAAGTGCTTTTATAGAAATTGTGTGCTGAATAATGAATAAGATGGAGGACAACCTTGTTTCCTTTTGCGAAGGTTTAAGTTTTATTTGAGCAATCTCCATCATATAGATGGCTGCTTGTTTTTGTGATCAACTTTCTTCAATCTTTAGTGATGATGAATAGTATATGTGCCGTTCTTTCATATGATTTTTGTTTCTTGTTAGGTTGGATGAATGCCTCCAATGCTGGTTCCAGTCCAATCCCTTGGTCCCAATACCAAGAACTTCTCTACTTTGCACCTCATATATTTTAGCTATACTTTGTAATCAAGGGTGTATTTGGTATATGGATTTTAGAATTGCCTCAGAGAAATATATATTTAGGCATTTGGATTAAGATATTAGTTACCCTGGCAATAGGTAAAAAAGGCCTGATATGGGGTAGCAAAATGTAATTGACAGAATATGTGTATTATTTTAAATATCCCATCATTGACCGTGTGGGCTAATATTGGCATTCATCATTCATGTATGTGCATTCGCCTGCATGTATGATGCTGTTTAGTGTGTATATGCTCATTATTTTCATGATTATGTTGTTCACAAGAGAGGATTAGAGCTTCTTTAGAGACGATGAAGGATGTAAAGTTTGAAGACATCTTTCTTATATGCTTGTTGATCTGTGAAAGACTCAGTCTCTGATTGTTGGAACTTTTTTTCTTTTTTAGATGCACAACAAGGGATCACGTCACCTTGCTGCAGCATCAAGACTGAAGGAAAGAGATTTGATGAAACAGAATGAAATAAATAAGAGAATTGCATTGTCAGCCTCATCTGCTGACACTGCCAAATCTAGTAATTGCAACCAAAAGCTTAGGTCAGCCAGCAGTGGCAAGCCTTTGATTGAACAGACAAAAAAGGCTGTTTGCGAAATACTTTCTGACAAATCTCAGCAACAAATGGAAAATAGAAGTAAAAAGGAGCTATCAAACACAGGTCACATAGCAAGTGCATCAACTGAAAGCTGCTCATCTCCTGCGCGAGTGGAAGATAACAAGCCGGTTATACAGCATCATTTGGATTATTGGGAACGGAGAGAGAGAGAACTCAAGTTTACTGCTGCAGGTTGGAAGCGTGACGGTCATGGCAAATGGTATAAAGATGAAAATGTGAGTTCCTTCCACCCCCCATCCCACCCTTCTAAATCATAAATTGTCTATTTTGAATCTGGAATTGAATGGCAGGCTGACAATCTAAATATCAGCATTTGCTTATTTGATTTCACTTAATGCCTCAAGACTTTCTTTCTTTCTTCTTTTTTTTTTTTTTTGAAGCGCCCTGCTTTCACGAGACTAGTGTTACCCTTTACTACTTAGTGATTGGTTAACTTATTTGTCTGATGAGGTAAAATATAGCCATTTATGTCTGTTTTTCTACTAGCAGGTTGAGTTTGACTCTGATGAAGAAGATCCAAATGTTTGTCTCAGCTGAAAATTTGTGCATTAGTCAGTAGAGTTGTTGGAGGACTATAGCAGCGACGAAAATGTATTGTAACATCACTTGTCTCTCTGAAAGCTATATCTGTGAATATATATGTGTGTGTGCATGTGTGCGCGCACTGATTGATAGGGTTAGGTTTCAGTTTCATCAAGTTTTTTTGCTCTAATTTTTTGAACTGATAGCTAGAGTGTTTATTTATGAATAGTTAAGGCTTCCCATTTGGCTTTATCATGAAATAGAAAGTGCCAGCTACTGGTTAATTCAGATCAAATTCTTTTGGCATGGAAATAACCAAATAGGTGGTTTGATGGCTTTTTATTAATGTCTGTTTATTGCGAAGGGGAATGCAGGGGATGCATCTAGAACGTATATTACTTATGTTCATATGTTTTTATATACGCATTCTGCTTGAATATATTTCATAAATGAGACTCACACTGTCGAGGACCTCCATGTATGTGTGTGTGTGTGTGTGTGTGTGTGTGTGTGTGTGTGTGTGTGTGGATTCAAAAACCACAAACCAGCGTCACAAACTTGAGATTCCAGCTCAAGATGTCTGCGAAGGAATTGCATCCTGAGCCCTTAACTTTCGCCTATTTTTGTTAAAATCCACAAGTTCTTCAAAATTTTGAAGAGTCTCACTCACGCCCCGCGCACGTTTGTCAGAATGAAGGACATGAACTTGGCACAACCGCCAAGACCTTTGTGAAGGGTCAAAGGCAACGCAACAAGTAATTGCATTTCTGAGGAGCAAAACCAAGAGCATGCAAACCAGTTGATATGCATCAAATATGTAAGCATGTGACATCCCAATTACAGTTATCTTCCCCTTTCAACGGCGAGAGAGATGGCTCCGAGTGATTGAAATTATTACACCATCTTGATGGGACTAAAACCAACACATCAAATAATAATCAAACGTTCACACAATAATGTTACTTGAATATAATAATCATGATAAGCTGAACTAAAGGTTAAGACAGAGCAAAATTTCTGCATATATACATCAAATGTTCACACTATGATTTGTCTTTATAATGTACGTACATGACCACACGGAAGCTTGCTTGCAAATTCAGATCTGAATTATTTTGTATACCTTTTTTTTTTGGGACCAAAGTTTTGTGTACCTTTGTGCAGGTGAAAATTGCTTTACCAAAGTTTTGTGTACCTTTGGTGCAGGTGAAAATTGCTTTGAAATAAGTTGAATTCAAATTGGAAGTAGAATTAAAGGGTGTGTTTGGATTAGCGGTGGGAGAAATAATTTTTTTTCAATCTGACAAAAGTCAGATTGGGTAAAAGTCAGATAGGATAATGTGATTTATGTTTGGATTGGATTTTGTAAAAAAGTCAGTTTGAGAAATGTAAACTTGTTTGGATGACTAATAAAAAAGTTAGTTTATATGTTAAATGAACAAAAAGGACATGAATTTTATTAAGTAATACTACCTTCAGTCCTTAGTATAAGAGTTAGTTTTGATATTAAATTTGCTTCTAAATATAAAACAATAACTATTTATTATAAATAACTAATTTAACTAACTTTCTTAGTCTTTCCAAATTAATTAACTAGCTCTTATATTAAGGATGAGAGGTAGTACATATTTACTATTAAATGTATATAATGTGACAATTGTAAAAAAATATTCAAAATAAAATCATTTAAAATAAAAAAATTAATTTATTATTAGAAAGAAATTAAAAAAATGCTACCTTTCCACGGCACTGTTACTTTCCACCGGTCAAAGCAGGATTAAATAGCTTCTTCCATAAGTCCATTTGAGATCTAAAAGTCAGATTATATAAACACTGTGCCAAACACTACATTTTCTGAAAAAGCACCGTTTGCCATTTGAATCGCACGTTTTGGTGTCCAAACGTGAATGCAAACACCCCCTTAAAATAAAATTAGTAAAAAGAAAGAAGTCTAAGTTAATTTCCAACACCAAAATATGCAGCTTCTGCAATAGTAGTTTTTCTTTCATGGTTTTCAGTTTGATTTCATGTTGATTTCGATTTCAGAAGATAATCACTATTTTTTAACAACAATAATTTCGATTTCAGAAGAAAATAAACGAATTATGTTCAGGCCCCAAAAAAAATTATGAAACTCGTTACACGCCCACAACATTGTTGTGGTGGGAGAAGCAGATTACTCATTGTTTGTTCTAGGAGAGGGATTTAAAGTGAAAGTTCCAATATAGCTACCAACTTGATCATCCTTTGCTAATAACACCCACTAACCCCAATTATAGTGGATAGGGTGGGGATTTGGATCTCCTGTTTATTCAAATCTAATTAAAAGTTAAAAAATGTGTTAAAAATTAAAATGCGTTGTATCACATTGATTTCAAGTTGGAATTTAATACTGTACATATTAAATATCTAAGAAATAGAGAATGTCACACGCAGACGCAAAATGCTATTAATGCGAATGTGTACTAATATATAGTATATATTAATGAGGGGTTGTTTTGGATTTATATTGGATGGGTGTCCTTTCTTTTAAATAGCAACGCAATTGGAGAAGCCATAATGTGTATAATGGAAGTCATGCTTTTTTGAATTGTGTTACCACAGAAGTGCTTGATCCCACCTATGCCCATAAATTTGTGTGGTTTGGTCCGGTCCGGTCCTACACAAATTGCACGTAACTCCCGCTGCCTTTTCTGGTTTATGCAATCATGCTGTTCGATGTTTTTCCCCAGAGAGAAAAACAAAAGGGAAAAATATGAAGGAGATCAATGCATTTCTCTGTTCGCCATCATCCCACTTGGATATGGTATCAACTTTATTTGCTCCGTCACTGTAATGAAGAAATAATCAAATTGACCCTTCTTGGAAACATCTTAGCATATTCAAATCCTTTCAATGTTAATACCAGTAAATGAGGAAATTTATTGTTTCTGCATTTTTCTTTCTGGGTCATAACTCACAAGCCATGCAACTCCAGCTCTATGGCTCTGTTTCTCCCAAGTCAGTTCTAGTTTGGACTTCAATCACTCCTTTTTTCTCTGTTTTCTTACGCTCCAATAAGTACAAATGTTCCAGCTACCTCAGCACTAAACAAAGTTATTTTGATGGTTATTAGACTTAATTTGACAGTCCATGATAAACAAGATTTTGGACAGATCTGGACTATCCAACATCGATAGGCTGAACTGACTAACCGCTTTTAAAGGACTGTGCACATCCTAAACCCGACCGCATCATACGTGCAGGTTCGCATCTATACAAGGATGATATTGCCCTGAAACTAATGAGTGACTCTCACATGTATATCACTATTTGCCACTCTAGGACCAAGAATAATTACTGTAAGAGTATTATTATTGGAAAGAAAGTTCAACATTATGTATGTGATCGAGGTAGATTGCTTTCATTTTTGGTTTTTCGTTTTTTTTTTTTTTTTGGTCTGCAGAATCATAATAAAAGAATAACCTCAAGCTAGCTATCAGTAGCCTCATCATAATGCCTTTGGAAACTTTAACTAAAGATACCTCATAGGTGTGCCTCAGGTAATTTGTTACTCGTCATCCTTTGATTATCACTTTAATTCTGTATTAATTAAGCATCATAGCACGTGTCAAAGTCACTGCTATTTGTTTTGATCAATGTTTCTATATCAAGCATTACGATAAACCACTAAAAATAACTCATGATTCAGCTTGGCTTCCCTCTAATAATAAAGAGATATAATGAAAAGCGGTATGTTTGGAAGGTGACTCTCACCACTTGTTTCTGTCTCTTTCTTCATCATTTATCTTTATTTACTCGAGAAATTTTGAACTCCTTACAACCTTACTCAGCCCATTCTTTGTAGAAGTTTTAAGAATCGGTAGATCGATTAACATCAAGACTCTGTGATTCATCATTCATTATATATATTGTATGTATGTTTGGGCCTTTTCCTTTCCTTTTATCATTTGAATTTGAAGGACATGACTGTACAGCAGACGAATGTCTAAACTGATATGGTGGAAAAAGGGAGGGCTGAAGAAGTGGGATCCACAGCTATTTATACTTTGAAGAAGGTGACCAACTTTTAGATAAATGCGTTGATGATTAAACCCACCACAAACGCTGTTTAATTATGGTCAAAATTGTGTACCATATGTCAAAGCTATCTTGGGGTAAAAGAAAAAGTTTGTTTATTCCCTCACGATGACACTTAGTGGTGGGGTAACCCACTTACATTCCCATATTATGATGAGGCTGTTGAAAAGAGAAAAGTCAGATGGAACCACACAAAGGAAAAGAAAAGAGGTAATTTGTTTTTGACCAGTATTTTACTGAGGTGGAGAATTTCCCCCCAAAAGATTTACTATTAAATGAGATTATTAGCTCATTTAAATATTGCTGAATAGTAATTCATACTAATCAATACTAGATCAAAAATTTCATATTCTATGAAATTTTACTCAACCTTTTTGTCTGGGAGGACTTCTATATCAGTAACCTTTTTGGTCCTGTTACCAACTTTTACATCAATCAAATGGAAAACCTCTTCAAAAAATTACATGTTAAGGTGAAAAAAAATTCAATATGCCTAGGCACAATGCTCAACTTAAGATTAGTGCTTCAGATGTAGAATCTATCAGTATACACATTTCAATGATATCCTAATACGTCTGGGCACTAGGTGACAGTGTAGAAAGTGTAGGCAAGAAATGCTTTTTATATGTTCTGATAAATAGAATTTGGAGTATTAAACATGTTGCTATTTAAAAATGGAGTGGATTAAGCTGGGTAAAGTGAAGTCTCCCCCGAAGTAGTTGAACATCAATGTTGTAATAGAGAGACCAGCAGGACAGATCCAAGGAACATGCACTACGGTGTTGTCACATCCACACCTTATCCACACCATGCTTGCTTTATGAAGCAAACACTTTGATGCCACATATTATATTGCCGTCATTATTTAACTTAGTAATTTCGTATAATCTTCTTTCTTAAGACTCACTGTCAATAGTATTAGCTCAAGCACCTTTTACACATCATTTACTCTTGACTTTGGCATCCAAATCTGTGTGTGTGTCATAGCGACACCACTCTCCATGTTGATCACTAACATATTAATATATTGCTTCCTCTTATCCCTAATATAACAGTTAGATAAACTAATTTGTGATATTAAGAAAATTAGCTAAGTTAGTTACTTGTAATAAATATGTATTGATTTCTCTGGAATACCCTTTCAAATCATATGCATAAAAAATACTCCTTGATGAAAACCTCCTTGCTCTGTGTATTTAATAAGAATACTTTAAGTAAAAAAATTATAAATTTGGAAGATAAATTAAAATGAATTGAGATTT